AAAAAAAAAAAAAAAAAAAAAAAAAAAAAAAAAAAAAAAAAAAAAAAAAAAAAAAAAAAAAAAAAAAAAAAAAAAAAAAGGAAAAGAAAGAAATAACGCTTGCCTAAATAATACAAGAGAATTCGAGCATCTTAATAAAAATTATACCGCTTGGAGGCAGAGCGAAAGAAACAACAGAAGAGGAGGAGTATCTAGCCAAGGAGGCGGATTAACAACTTCAAAATAACTTTAAGCAGGTCAAGAAGACTCTAAAGAAAACTTCTAAAGCTTCACACCAGCAAGACTCTTATATAAACAAGCCAACAACTGCTGAAGTTATTATAGAGGCCCCTCCAACAATAAATCAACGAGACCGCCAGATACGGCTGCCCCACCGCTTCCGAAGCGATTAAAAATTCTATATAGACTCTATCTAATAAATACTTTAAACCACCAAAAAATCGAGGAATAATGATAAATATATGTGGTTGAATTGCTTCATATTGGTTATTGTAGTTGGCAGCGATTTCGTGCATCAGGTGATCGCCGACTGTATGACAGAACATTAGGTAAGTGGTCAAAAATTATTGCAACACCTGAATTTCGGCCTCCGAGGCGTCGTTTTTAAACCTCAATATCTCAACGAAATTAAAAGCTTTTGATATGAATCTATACGAGACCACGTGATCCTAGTGGCTTGGCCAGATCACCAACTTCAACCTCTGAAGGCTTTACCCATTAGTAGATAAGAGAGAAGCGCCTAAGATAGTTGATACAGTCGTCCATAGAATTGAGAATCTATCGGAATGGCAGCCGGTCCTCAGTAGGCTACGTACGTGTAGCTGATACAGCTCTATTCTGCCTATCTTTCCCCTGAGATCACAACAGCTTTTGAGCTCAAAATAAGTTCTATAGATTCCTAAGCTCAGTATTTAGTGTACTATCCACGGGCTCTATATGCAGCTTGAATCTTGCGCGACCAGGATAGAACTAGGCGGTTTATATTGTCCTGGTCAGGGGCATTTGAATCAATAGATAGTAAAATATATAATACCAAATTCTTGGGCAAGTTTAGAATCGTCTTCTCCCCTTTCATTTATAAATCTATTTATTATTTATAAAGGAAATCCCCCTCGGCTCGTGCCGAAGCATCGGGAACTACCGACCTTGTCGGCCGGGCCGAAAAAATTGACCCTAAAAGCTGCCTGAACGTGCTAATTTCCACACCCTTGTCTATACTACCTACCTCCTGACACATGGCAAGTCATTATCGCATTCCTGCTTAAAGTGTTGCAATACTTTTGACCCACTAAATCTCACCTTCCAAGATGTGGGTCAGAGCTGCTCCGTACCACCTTCTTATTCAGGCTTACTGTCAGACAACAGGCATGTTACGCTCCTTCACTCCTCTATTCCTTCGGCTAGCTCAGGTAGGATATTGCTAAATTTGCCTGCAACTAGAGTCCCATGCAATTTCAGGGTGAGCAACAAGCTTACGGCTGGTCGCTGTTAAATAGAGGCCATGGCGGCTCATATCGAGTTCGTTCTTTATGCGCTACAATCACACTCCTTGAATCTTTTCGTTCGCGTCATTCCTTTAGATCAGTTATTTTCGTTCACGTCATTCCTTTAGATCAGTTATTTCAGCACGTGTATTTATATCATGTCCCGTCAACTTGCACTTGTTGCTGCTTCGGCGTCGCTGGCCTTTGCTGCCACCATCCCTGTGATCCCCCGGGGCACAGGCGCAGGCGTTACTCCTCACGAGCAGTACTCGTCCTCAGTCGGCGTTGTCGGCTGCAAGATCAACACCAACCGTGTGGCCTATTGGCCCAGCGCAGTCGACTGCAACGACATCTGCGTCAAGGTCACCTACGAGGACCGCTCCCTCAACATCCTCAAGATTGACACCTCTGGCGGCGCGTACGACATCTCCTACGACGCTTGGAACTACCTCGGCTTCGGCCAATCTGCGAAGGACGACCCGCAAACTGGAGGAGCTATTGATATGGAGTATAAGGTCGTTGACCCTAGCGAGTGCGCCGATATCATGGACAACGGCAAGCTGCCCCTCTTGGCAGCCAACAGCATGGACTTTCTCTCTTCGTGCCTTAGCCAGCCCGACAGCTTTGTCGCCCAAAACTACGTGCTCTACAACATCGTCGACCCTGTCTGCCACTATGGCATCGACGAGGTGTGCACCCTCGACCTCTCTGTCAGCAACCAGCCCTCGTGCCCCAGCGGTCTCGGCAACGCCGCTCCGCTGGACGAACCGGTGTATAACATCCAGTACGGAACCGGCAAGGAGGTTGCCGCCTAAGAGGATTCTCCCCTGTCTTGCGGAAAGCTGTATATCCCTGTCACGATGTACATACTCAAATATACTAGAATGCTCAAGATTGCCCAAAATATCACAGACCAAAATGCCCGAGAGGCTGCGAGTTGATATTATCCCGTATCGGAAACTACTACAGGTCGAATTCCCCCAAGCCAGGTACATTCGTAAAAAGGTCATCCAACCACAAAGAATCATCGGTCAGAGCCTGGGTATCCCAGCACCACTCTGATTCAAGGAAGATAAATGGGGTGTCACGGATAGAACGAAGCTCTCTAAGTGTTCCCCTGAAATATAATAAGCTAAGTGTTTTGTCCATACCTATAATGAATGAAAGGTATAATTGAGATACTGTCTCCAGAAGTGTCAGTATTCTATGCCCTCAACTCCTCAAATGACGTATATAATTGAGCTACTACTTTGTTCACTGGTGTGCCGATATTTACATATACCTTTTGATAGAGCTGGTGCCGCGTGTGTGGGATTGATTCTCTTAAGGTCTAAATCTATCATACAGAGATATTCCTTGGTGTTGTGGTCAGGTCACGTGGTTGCTGCCTAGGCTCCCTATAGGCTCTGACACAGCTATCTCTTTTAAATGATTTAATCGGACCGCCCTCATTCCTTTCACATTTCCTAATTAGGCAGTATCCTCATTTTCCATGGCGTTGAGTAGGCCCAGCTTCTCCACAAAGAGGCGTATTTCACCATAGGGAATGGGTTGGTGAGCCTGTCTGCCGTATTCTCCCCTGATTTGACTATTTTGAACTCAATTATTCTGTTTTCCACTGCTTCCTTTACATAATGGTAGCGTACATCGATCCAACGCAACGCAGTGGAGTAATTAGGGCATTTCAGTATGTCAATAGCATTCAGTGAGTCAATGTAGATCTTGATTGACTTATTAGGCGTAGGGAATCCAACTGTATTGATTAACTTAAGCAGCCATACAGCCTGCTTAGCCGCTGTATTCCATGCGATAAATTCTGCAGCTGTTAAGCCCGGGGCGACGATGTCTTGTTTCTTTGAACTCCAGTATATTAGTGCTCCGGCCAGCGTAAAGATAAATGCTCCCGTAGATCTACAGTTTTCACAATTGCCATGAGATGAATCAATGTACGTATACAGGCCTTCATTAGGGTGTTGGCCTAATCTAATCTGATAGTCAGATTGTTTCCTGAGATATCTGAAGGTGTGTTTAATCTCTTTGGAGTCCTTTGCATTGGCACTTTCAGTCCGCCTGCTTAAGCGGGAGGTTGAAAAGGCGATGTCAGGGCGGGTGCGGCATGCAATCCAGTTGAGTTGACCTGATAGCTCCTGATATAATTGTTTCTGGCCTGGATCGGGTGGTTCGGTTGATTCTGCTGGCTTCTAGCCAGGTGCTTATGCAAGAGACGGACAGTACAGCAGTGACCCCCTCATATGGAGATCTCGCGACGAATTCGGATATCTGCTTGGTCTTTCTTAATACCGTGTTGGGAGAAGGGGTGAACCGCACGGAGCTGTACAACAATGATCAAAACAACATGGTCAACACGGTAGCTGATAACTGTAGCAACATAAATTGTTATGATCAATACTGTTGCACCTTGCCTTATGAGCCAGTGGATTGGGCATGAGAACGTTATTGGACTTTTGTACGGCCCTCTCCTGGCTATCGTTGAGGTGTTGTACGGTGATGTCAACCCATCTGGACGCTTGATATACACTACTGCCAAGAATGAGAGTGAGTATAATATCGGCATCTGCTACACAGCGCAGTGTAATTATATGGAAGGTGGGTCCTCTTCTTTTGGCAAAGGTTTGAACGCTTCAGGAGGTGAATACTAAGTGACCTAGGTGTCAATGTTGACTACCGCTACTTCGACTCTTACAACGTTACTCCTTGCTACCCCTTCAGCCGCGGTTTGTCATACACTAGCTTCTCATATTCAGACTCGGAAATCGAGGGAGCCCAAGGCTCTATTAAAGTTCCCCACAAGCCAACACACGGTGGGCGGCAAGACTGCAAAGATGTCGTGGGAAATGTTCATGGCACTGTGTCTAACATCAGTGCTATGGACGGTGCGGAGGTCCCACAACTTTATCTTGGCTATCCCAGCGGTGTTCAGCAACCTGTTCGCCAGGTTCGTGGATTGAAGCGAGTTGAAATTAATAATGCAAAGCACTCGAAGGTGACCTTCCAGCTGCGGCGTCGTGATATCTCCTACTGGGACATCACCGCTCAGGAATGGGGCGTGATGCCGGGCAAGTATAGGGTGTATCTCGGTGCCAGCTCGCACGATCTGAAGTTGCACTGTAGCTTCGCCGTTCATCTTTCTTCCTAGAACACAGATGTCTGCGTTAAAACGCAACCAGAGGTTAATCTTCTTACACTAGTACGCTAAAAGCCTCTCATCAATGTACACCAGTATTTATAATTTGAATTGGTGTTTAGAATCGTCAAAAAAATTGTCGAGAGGGTGTATAGCTTGATTTATTAAAATACAGTATACTACCCTGTAAAAGAGAAATCGAGCCTAATAAAGTGAGCTTTAAACATACAACTTCTACCTTACTAAAGGTAATCTGACGAGATCGTACACTTGAACAATATCATGCAAACAGACATTATTATAAAAGGTTGTTGGTGCGCACGCCACCTAAATCATGGACGTCCTAGACGGAGCGTTGCCATGTACCAAGACTCGCTCGCAACCTATGTACATATATCATATATCCATGCATACACGCACGCATGCGTAGAGGAACTGGATTATATACAGGAAAAAGCCGTTTAGCTGAAAGCCGAGAAGCAGGAGCTCTTGGCATCGGACTCCTCCCATCCAATGCACTTCCAACAGTTCAACAACCGGTGGGGATCGTACTTGTTCTTGATCGTCACCAAGGGCTCGTAGTTATCGCCCCACCAGGCTTCCTGCCAGTCTTCGGTGAAGGGGTTGGCTTCGCAGCTGTAGGCGCCGCTGCCAGGGGTAATCCGCTCCAAGGTAGCGGTCATGTTCTGCAGATCGGCAATCTTCTGTTCACGGGTCTCGATGGTGCTATTCCAGGCCCAGGCCGTGCCGGATCCCAGCTCCCAGACAGCCGATCGCCAAGCGGGGGTCGCCGAGGTGGAGTTTGCGGTGTAGTTGTAGAGCACGGGGCCGACGATCGGGATGTAAGGGCTTTGTCCCTTGGACTGGATGAGGGAGAAGAAGTCCATGAGGTTCTGGCGGCCTTCAGCGGTTTCAAAGACGGCCTTGGGGACCAGACGACTGCCGGCAAAGTGGGTGACACCGACGCTGACCGCGTTGGAGGTCACATACTTCTCGTAAAAAGCGTACCAGGATGAGAATTGCTCAACAGTCGCGGAGCCGCCCTGGGCCTTCGCGTACGCGATCACCTCGCTGAGGGACTCTTCCGCCTGGGCCACAGAAAGGAGAGGAGTGACGTTGATCAGACTGCTGCCGCTGATATGACCCCCCCAGCCTTCCGAAGCCCACTTCAAAGTGCTGTTGACGACGATATCCATAAAAGGTAGAAGGTTGGTGGAGTTCGAAGGGAACTTGATAATGGCGGCGACAAAGCTCAACTCTGGTTCAACGCGGTGGGTGCTCTCGATGACCACACCAAATGTACCGCCGCCACCGCCACGGAGGGCCCAGAAAAGATCCTGGTTCTGGCATTCGTTGGCAATCCGGTACTGACCATCGGGAGTCACCACCTTGAACTGGAGGACTCGATCAATAGCCAATCCATAGACAGGAGACAGGATGCTGTGACCGGCAGTCTGCAAGTAACCACCGCTAGCGCCGACTGTAGGTGCGTAGCCACCTAAGAATGTAGCATTGTTCGAGTGGGCAAAAGCATACACCTCGTTGAAGTTCATGCCCGCTCCGATGGTGATGGCCTTCTGGGCAGTCCCTGGCGCGGCGCAGGCATTGCAACCCTCGGGCTTAAAGTCGGCATGATAGGTCTTGGACTGTAAATTACGAGTCCAGAGTGCCAACGTCCCCTTTCCACTACTGCGGCCCAGGTAGTCATGGCCACTGTTCTTTATTGACAGGCGGGTTCCGGAGCAGTTCGCGAACTTGAACGCCTCGATGGCATCGCTGGCCTGCTGAATCTCCAGATAATATGAGGGCAAGTTGCCCTGCTGACACACCGTATTGGTATAGGCCACGGGATCGGTCGGATCGGAGCTGTCGAGGAGGCATTGGTCACTGGGGTCCGAGGCGCACATCTCGACTTGGTTGTTCATGTACCCATTGGCGGAGTTGGAACGCAGGTACGGGTCGCTGTAGTTGCTCTGGATGGTCGCGCAGACGGCATTGTTAACGGCCACCTCGGTGCCATTGTAGTTGGAGAAACAGGGTAACGAGAAGGGTGTCAGTGGCTGAACGCGACCGCCGACAGTGGCATTGAAGTTATCAAGGTCACAGCTTCCAGCTGAAACGCCCAAAAAATGGACAGCCAGCGAAACAACAGAGTTCTTGAAGGTTGAAGGCGCCATCTTGCCACGCGATGATGAGATCATCCACGGGGATATACAAGTGGATAAAGGAAAAGTAGCGACGATCGCAGCCCTTCCAGGAAAGTGAGAAGTAAGAACTTTCAGATAGGAACAGCAGGGTCTTTTAGTTCAAATCCCGGCACGCTGACAACCGATTCAGTAACTTCAAAGTCCCGGTTCGTTGGGAAACTAGTTCCAGACAAGCGACCACAACACAGTACATTTCAATCCACATGTCCATCTTACACTGGTGCAATATCCCGACAGTTGTTCTACATAGTACTCCTCGTACGATAGTGGGTAGTAGAAGGTACGGAGCGCCGGAGAGTGTCCGTCCAGCCACGCAGAAAAGTGCACCACAAGTCAAGGGATACTAACTTTAGTGACCGGGACGAAGGGCCATTTCATAGGGCTTCGGTCTCTCTTCGGTAATATCATCGACGGGAATCCAATCGTAGTGCGCGAAGTTGACCCACCCGGTGGAGCCTTTCCCCTGGTCAAGGCTCCCTGATTATTCAAATGCTTGCACGGCACCCAAGCTTAACAGGAATAAGAACCGAAGAGGCAGAAAGAAAAAAATCGAAGGAGAAAAAGTGGACCCTCCCGCATCTTCGCATTCCCAAATGCTTGGATGACTGGGTCTCACCGCGTGGCTCAATATAAAACAGATTGCCCACGGTGATTCTTGTCTCACCAGCGTACAACTATTGAACTCTATCGGGTAAGGTTTGTGATAAATAATGCACAATTACCTCTGCCGGGTGCCGTGCAGCGTGGGAGATGTAGAAGAACCTCTGATCGAAGTTAGGGTTCATACCTTCCACGAGGAATGTGGATGAGACGCACGAACAGGAGCGATCTTTACCGACCGTAGAATTCCATCGCCGATCTGATTTGAGGAAATACTGCAGGGAAATCCCTCATCAGATTGATTGATTAATTAAAAAATACCTTATGCGGCCTCCAGAAGGGGATCTCAGCGGCGGCACTCCCGAAATTCCCAGGCCTAGTACCATGGAAGGGCCGGCCGATTTACGACATTGGTCTTAGATTATAAGTCTTTTGAGGGCCTTGGCATCCGCAGAGTTTAAAACAATTGGAAAAGAAGTAAAAATACAAAAAGTCCGTGACCTATCAATGAAAAGGTGGGGGGGGGCAAGAAAGTCAAGAGAGAAAGAAGTGTTATAGGACAACTGACTGCACCCCCATTGCCATCTACCACAGCTGACATTCCCCTGATTGTGTACGGCCATGTCGTCCTGGCATCACATCGAGACAGAGAACTAATTGTTTCAGCGTTGTGACCGGCGGGCCTTTCCTGGCTAAGGGAAAGGATTCGAATCGTAGTGAAGTGAGATCGTCCACCGGGTTACCCTTCTCAGGTTGGCCACATTCCCCAGCCGTGCTCGACAGAATGTCCATCGAAAACACATACTGGAAGAATGTCCTCACGGTTGTGCCTATCGTGGGCGCGGCTCTTGCAACTCTGACATATATCCTGCGATTGGTATCATGTCGCATCTCCACCGTAGGACTGAGGCTGGAGGACCTCTTGATGGGTATTGGTTTGATTCTATCCTATTGTGCCACTGCTTTTGTCATCTATAGTAGGTTCCGACCTTGCGTATCGTCTTGGAATCACTTACTCACCATGCGCCAAACAGCGGCCTTCAATGGCGTGGGTGTCCGAACGAGTCTTCTGCCACCCGATGAGCGACATCGCATTCAATTTGTAAGTTCTCTCTCCCTGTCCACTCCCACTAACACGTCTTTGGAGATAAGCCCGCTAACGTACCGCCCCCTCTAGGGCTCGTGGATGATCCAGAAATTCTGGGCCCCGTCCATGGCGTTTGTCAAAATCTCCATCATCGTGTTCCTTCAACGCATTCTCGGTACGGTCCCAGCCTTTCGCCTAGTCTCCAACTGCATCATCGTGTTCATCGCGCTGTGGGCCCTGGTGGCTCTGCTCGTCAACGTCTTCCAGTGCCATCCCGTTCAGTTCTACTATGATAAAACGTTGAAAGGCGGCCATTGTATGCCCGGCCAAACCAAATTCTTTCAAGCTATGGGAAGCATTGCCCTGGTGGAGGACGTGACGATCTTATTGATGCCGGTCCCGATAGTCTGGCGGCTGAAAATCACCCTGCGTCAAAAGATTGCGGTGACCATTGTGTTTTCGCTAGGAGGATTGTACGTTCCGATGCTTCATTCCCACGAAGCACTGAGGAACCTGAATAGACGCTGACTATCCCAGGGTCTGCATTTTCAGTCTGATGCGACTCATTGAATTCCGCAACTTCGTTGTGACAGATCTAGCCTGTAAGCTTTCCAAAATGACATTGCGGCCCCCAGTCTCATATGGCTAATTTCTCTATAGCATCCAGCGCGAAAGAGTCAATCTGGACGGTTCTCGAACTTGACGTCGCCATCATCTGCGGGTGTCTTCCTCTTCTGAAGCCCCTCCTGGCCGGATTTCTCGGCACCGTCAAGAGTATCTCGAAAGGACAGTCGAACTCCGGCACGAAGCTATATTTTCACACGAGCGGCACGCACCACCACGATGGATTCCACAAGATCAACGATCCCCACGGTGCCACTGCCAGCCAAAGCCGGGACGTGGTGACGCAGTCTTCTACACGGCGGGGGAGCTCGGAGATTGAATTGCACGGGATCGAAGTACATACGGCGATTGAGAGTCGGTCGGAGATTGCTGATAATCCTCATACGGTGGACAGCGGGAGATGGCCGTTAACTGTCAATCATATAAAATGAAATGCCAATAATAATAATAATAATAGGGAAATTGACAAATCGCATTGAAACGACGAACGTGCCACCTAAAATATATGTGAAATGTCTGTTCGAACCAAACTAAAAGCAATTTCTGCTCTGTAGACACCTTGAACTTCACCAAGGTACTGTTGACCTATACAAAAGAGCTCTACTCATGAGCAGAAAGCCAAGCCACAAGATCATCTCGATTACTAGGAAGGCCGGTCGACTAGGTCGCAGCCTTGCAGAACAGACAGCAGTCGGTAACCTGAATAACCACACTGCTAGTGGAGCGAATAGGAGGCAAAGGGCTTTCATGGGTCTAGAAATCTGGATCTCCCCTCACATAGGTACCCCACAGACGTCTAGTAGTGAAGGGTTGCGGTATCAGGTGACCTCGGCCACTTAAGCCTCCTTTCACCTCGTCTTTCTAATACCTCTCTCTATACAATCTTACTGTTCATCAATCGTTGAGATCTCTACTTCATCGAGTCCCGTAGCGAGTAACTGTATGTAGATTTAGTATTGTTAAAAAAGATAACGAAGCTAACACACTCGTAGTGTCAAGTGACGCTTCTCCAACATGGGCGGGCGCCAATATACCTATAGGAGAAGACATTCAAGCGTCCTAGCAGAACAAGGTCAGACAGCAATTTGCAGCATCTTTTGCTTGTGGAGGTGTAATGTCAGTAGGTCTAACGACAAAGGTGGCCCAAGGGCGACATCGCCTTCCCCGGTTGTCAAGATCTATCAGTCCCTCAAGGAGGAAATGAGTGCTCAGGATGTTGTCCTCCCTTTGAACAATGCGTTCGCAGATTCTAGCCCGGCTGCAATTGAGCGACTCGTATCTGACTGCTCTGCTGCGATCTTTGGAAGAGGCAACGGAATGTTCTAGATCCTTACGCGGACTTTGGCATCATAATCTTGATTGAGCGGATCCTCTTACCCAGTGTGAGTAGTGATTTAGCAAACTCTTTACAGGGTCGGGCGATCTCTGCCGAGCTGTATAAAGCAAACCTAGGTTGATGTGAGAAGCCCTTAGGATGCATTGCTGATGAAGCTTAAGAACTGAAATAGGTCTACTCCAGTCCCTCAGGACTCTTTGGAAGCCATGTGGATACACCCCGCTAGACAAAACATGTCGGATCTTTGGTTGTCTGTCTCCTATATTCTTTTAAAGGTGGTAACATTCTCGTACATCAATACAGGAAAGAGATCGACTTTTTAACTGGGCACCAAAGGACATAGATGGGGACTATCGTATGGGGGAATTTCAGAGGATGAACATGAAGACGGTGTGTACATCGGAAAGCAACGGCACCCTTTCACACAGCCACACTGCAGCATGCAGCTGGACCCATTCCGCGAGGCGTGTACTCCATGTCCTTCTGCTGGGTCGTCGTCATTTGGCCTTTGATCTCACATGAAGTTTAGACCATTGGGAGCAAATGGCCCTATCGCAAAATGTCTAGGATTATCTAGTTGACATCTCCGCAGCATTAGGAGCAAGTACTGAGTTATATTACGTACGGAAATGAGTCCTCGATCAACACGACTTGCTCGGCGGCGGCTATTTTCGCGAGAATTCCTCGCTGGGAGCAGCGGTCTCAGCGCTGAAACGGTATGTTATGGTAAGATCCGGACCGGGGAGTGCAATGGGATTTCATGAAGCGTTCGTCTTTTGGTCGTCGAATCGTTTGAGGATACAGGTGGAAAAACTTGAGTCAATGAGACATCAACTTCATGTCAGGGGGAACTGCTACACATCTCAGTTATCACTTACTAGTGTCATTAAGGAACTTGATTCTATCGAATCTAATTTGATATCCTTTTACTTGAAACAAGGTAATGAGGCCTTTCTAGGGGTCTGTCGTCGTATAGTATGATACATAAAGCCGTATGGTGTTCACATCCCCAGAACGTCAGCCAATCAAGGTTCTCCTCTTCTCACCATAGCCATTGTCAAGTGGATCCGTAAGGTGTCTACTATACGATATAGATTATTAGCATAGACTCAGCGAGATATCGGGTCTCATTCAATATACAGTGACATGAAGTACAATGAATAATATAATATACCCTTAGATGAAAGGCACTATCAGATATGCGGTGGTTCAACACGCCCTTTCGGTGACAAACTCCGACTACTTCGGAAGTAACCCGAATATCAGGGCTCTACCCATTCCAACTATAGGGTTTATTTTATAATTGTCGCCCATTGACTTGACATGCTTGCACGTTTAATGAACAATGCTCATGCTGAAATTCAGAATGCCCGATAGTCACGAAGTCATTGGTGACTTTCACGATGTGCAACATGCCTTCGTCTGTCCACCCTATCCTCATCATGCACTACGAAAAGCAGCCCTTCCAAGAAGAAAACGATCAAAGTCTACCTTGATCTGGCTTGATGTCAACAAGGAGGAGGACCTCCCAAAGTGATACCAGCAAGTACTGCTGAAAGGTGACATGATTGACTATTATAATATCTCCGGCTGCTATGTGCTGCGCCCGGGTTCATTGGAGATCTAGGAAATTCTGCAGGAATTGTTCAACAAGCAAACCAATAAAATAGGAAATGTGAAACTGCATTTTCCCTCCATTCGTAACGGAGAACGTCCTTCATAGGAACAGAATCATATCGACGGATTTGCGCCGGAAGTCGCCTGAGTGACCCAGTCGTAAGTATCGGAGGCCTTCAGTGCAGTGACACACTAATGGAATCACAGGGGCAGTGGTAAGCTGGAAAAGATAATCGCCACTCGAGCGATTCAAGGGGCGGCCTCACATAGTCTGGGCCAGAACATCAGCAAGATGTTCAACATATCTGTAGAAGACCCCAAGACGGATGGGAAAGCGACCTTTCACAAATAATCTTCGTCTGACGAAACTCGTGGGCCTACTCTACAGGAACACGGTATTCGCGTGGAATTAGACCTCCGTGATGAGTATGCTGCGGGGTGGAAGTTCAATCAGTGTGAGCTGAAGGAGGGTTCTTCCTGTGAGGTTGGAAATCGGCCTGAGAGAATTCGAAGAAGACTACCTCCCAACTTCACGTCAGGACACCAAGCTAAAGGCTGGGTCGAGCTGTCAAATCTCTCAGCCGATGTTGCAGCTCTTTTAGTAGTTGTTCAGTTGGACTGTATACCCGTGCTTTGGAGCAGTTCCGGAAAAATGTCATCACTGTTTGGGGCCAGTTCGCTACGGCCTTAGACTCTAAGCACCTTTGCCTTATCTATCTCTGCCTGAGCGACAAACATGAGGGGGATAAAGCGGTTGAGTGAGCGTTCTGACAATTCATCCACACAGGACTCCAAAGCTCCATCCGTGGGAGCAAAGAACCTACGCATCCTACTCAAAGAGCCTACTAAGCTGCAAGAAACAACTACCAGATGTCACGGCAAAGAGTGCAATATGGCTAAGAAGTGATGTCTGTCTGGGCGGTCTTACTAAGTGCATCACGTCTTCATGTCAATCCAAAAAGGTCCTTCTACTCATTTCTTTCTTTCTTTCCATTTTTGTGACATGAGCAGAAACTTAAAAACAGTATTTAGATCCACCAAATCTGATCATTTGTCCAGCTTGCGAGAAGTCGTAGTTCATTATGACCATTACTGATCTCCAACAGTCAAGTCGACGCGTTCGGGGAGGAACGTAAGCATATCTAATACATGGACTCATCGTACTAATGAAACTCAATACTTTCAGGCGCTATTTCCCGTCCTGACGACTATTTTCGTTCCAAAAGCTCAAGCCTGCATGCTGTCGCAGAATGCCATATATGGCGCTGGCATCCTGACACTCCCCGCCGTATACTCTCGCTGCATTCATATGCTTGCTGGCTAACTCCAGCCCAGGTAATTTGAACTTGTACTCCTCAGCCATAGAAAGTGCATGTTTAGAATCTTTAATAGCCAGCGAAACGCCAAATTCTGGCCGAGTGTCCAGTGGCGGCGCATAGATTCCAGAGGTCAGCCTTATACAATGTTAGCTTCGCAAGTTCAAAAACATGAAAGTCGACGGCCACGGGATGCACGACTCACCGTTTAGAATACCCTCCTGCAATAGCCCCGAATGATTCGGTGATCAATTCCCCCATGGCTGCGGTGCTGAGTCTGGTCTTTTCTGCAAAGACTTGAGCTTCCCCAACCGCCTCCATCAATGAAAGAGTGATGATATTGCTATTCAATCGGACTCAGTCGTAGAGGTATTTAAATCCTGAGACCTACCCTCCTATCTTCAGTAATGATGCGCTGGACGCATTCTCCCTTCAGAGTATCACTTTCCCTCCCATGATATTAAGAATATATTGTTCCACATGTTAGTCAAGCGGATTGGGGGCCGCTTATCGCAAAGACCAGATTCCCTGTCGATGCTACGGCGGGCCCACCAAAGACAGGTGCGGAAAGCAGAACGGCTTCTTGTTTTGCGAGATGGGAAGACAGTTTCTCAGTAGTATCCGGATATACCGTCGAGCAGTCCACGAATATCTTGCTAGATAGTCCTTAACTACCGGCAATAGCAAGCTTGATGAGTCGTTGGAGAACCTCATCATTTGGGACCTGATATTAGTTAGCTTCTAGCAAAATACATTACTTTCTAACGGATCATGGACCATAGTAAACAAGATGTCACATCGTTTCACCAAGTCAATAAACTCAGTGGCAGGTATTGCTCCTCGGGACTTAAGTGTCCCCCCTACGCTCATTGTCCGATTGTTGTATATCAATGGAGGCTCACTGGTATTCATGAGATATTGGTGTAGATTCTCGGCCATGGGATGGCCCATGGATCCCAGTCCATACTTTGAATTGTTAGCGCCTGATTATAGCTAATGGTATTGATTTTCTACCCAGCTGCTTTTTTTTCAATGTTATTATGTCGTTTCTCACGAGCGTGTCAGTATCAAAATTTGTGATGGATAGATGGATAGGCAGGAGACGGGCCCGATTTTATTTATCCCGGTACAGTCCGTTTCTCTCAGCCGGTTTGAGCAAAACCGGAGCTACAACCGAGCCATGTTGATAGGATCCGCTCTTGGCGAGCCAATACGACAGAAATGCAGTGTATGGAGTCCAGGCGATCAATCAGATTGGGCGAGCTACTATCAGATCTAATGCCCGAGGTTGGCGGAAGCACTCCCGATCGCCCTGTAGCGATTTGAAGGTTATTACGATGATGTCAAATACACTTGGTATGCTAGGAAGTGAAGCTCAATAATTTTTAATCGCTCGTATTACTATCATTATGAGTTACTCTATGGGAATCTATGGGTACCTTCTAGTCTAGGATAATATCATGCACATAATAAGGGCTTAGCATAAGCCACCGCAACAATAAAGTGAACGAAGGAGCCTTAGGTCCGGGTGAGCTTGGCTCTGATCCGGGCTCCAAACACGTAGAAAGCGAATGGGATCAAAACCATAGCCAGAGCAATAAATGCAAGCAGCCAAGACGCCCACTGGAGACCGAGTCGGTGGTACATCTGAGTGGTGAATAGCGGGAAGGCGGCACCACCTCCAGATCGCAGAAAGACCTTGGCCGCCAGAGCCGATGCGGCGTACTTCTGGTAGGAGTCGATGATATAGTTGTTGACGGCGTAGTAGCAAAGGACCATGCCAAATCCAAAGGCAATGCCGGAGGAACAGGGCCCCACCCAGATGATATGCTTAAAGGAGGTAGCACCAAGGATAAACCATGAGATCGGAATAAAGGGGGCTCCGATCAGGGCTCCAATCAGTCGATCCTCCGGCGTCGGGGACCTGACCTTGCAGATCGCTTTGAACTGTTTCTCAATCGCGGGTGTAGCGACCAAAGAAAAACCAGCACCGATCAGAATAGGGATGAACATCAGACCGATCTGACCATCGTTGAACCCGTACAGTTCTCCAAAGATTACCGGGTATGCGAAGAAAAAGGCGTACAGCATGGCGTAGATCAGCACAATGTACATGCACATTAAGTCCAAAACCGGTTCAGTCAGGATCATCGTGATCGGGCGAATCAAGCTGGTACGAATAATGTCCCGGAGGGAGAGTTTGTACCTCTCCTGCTCGGTAATGATGTTCATATTCCCGGTGCTCTTCCTAAGCTTGGCAGCACGTCTCTTGAGAATCACTGGGGCATAGGTCTCTGGGATCATGCCAATCAGGATCATGACCACACCGGAAAATGCCATATTGGTCCAAAAGAAAAGATCGAGGCGATGGGAGCCAACATTGATCCAACCCGTCACAATGGGCCCAACCACCGGTCCACAGTAAGGAGCTGCCGCGAAGAAAGCGATGGCCATCCCACGCTCCTCGATGTTCCAGATATCCGCGATCGTCCCGCCGGCGAGAGAAAGTCCCGAGCTCGAGAAGACACCACATAAGAACCGGCAGACAAGGAGGCCGCCGATGTTCGGTGACAGGGCACAGGGGATATTAAAGATGGTGTAAAGAGCGAGGGAGATGATGTACACGGGTTGTCGACCGATGATCTCCGACAGGGGCGACCAGAGAAGAGGCCCAACCGCAAAGCCACATACCATGATCGAACACGTTAGGATGGCAACTTCCAGCGAGACATTGTATTTCTCTTGAATAAGACCCAAGCCTCCGGTTGTGATGGCGGAGCCATACGCAACACACACCACGAGAATCGACGCGACCATTGTCACGTACCACTTGTACAAGCGACCCCAATTAAATGGGTTCTCCGAATCGCCGATTTTGAATGTGACGAACTCTGCTGTCGTCGCCTTTTCGATATCAGATGGAGTTCGCCGTTCGCTAGATGCTCTCCTTGTGGTGGCCACCGAAGTATGGGATCGGATCTGCTCCAGCGTTCGCTCGGGGACGAGACCGGTGTTCGTCTCGATCACATACTCCTCAGGGAAGACAGGCTCTGTCTCGCGACCAAAATTCGGATAGTTGACATCCAGTGGAGGGGGATTCTCGGATACGCCTCGAATTCGTAGACTCTCACGGGTTTCCGTCCTCTCTAGCAGGTCGTCGGCACCGTCGTGGGGGTCTTCTGGTATTGTGTGCGCCATTTTGATATTTGTGTGTGTTAAGATGAGAGCCGTACAAATGCTAACAAACGTTGATAAATCTGTTAAAGGATGGCTTTGTAGCCTTCGCGCTGTATATGGATGGTTATATACTTGTCTGTGTGGCTCCAGCCGAGATACTGCCGCGCCGGCGGCAGCCGACATATCTCCGAATCATATCAAAAGTACAAAAATGAGTCCAGATCTATGCGTCAAACTCTGAGGGATTTAGTGCAAATCGGTCCGACCTCATCCGAGTCAGACAGTTGGGCATGACTCCGTCGGAATCGGGCTAATGCGGTGTATTTGCTATTCCTTGTTCTTAGTAGAAGGGGTTCTATAGATGACATAGGGTTCGACATACCGACCAAATCAGCCCCGTAAAGATAAATATCATCCTTGATCATCCTCGGCATAAGCTTGAGATAAGCTTGAGGTAAGCCTTTTCGGAGTGCTCCACGTGTGAATCCGATTGACTCCAGGTCAACAACGCATCCTGAGTAGGCATGATTCAGAGGTCAACATCCTTCAATATCGGTCGGACTAATCTCGGTACCGAACTTGCACCCAAAGCCTCAGACGTCACCACGATAGAAAACTACTCGAATAGTCCTAGTAAGTCGCCAATGCTAAGCTTTTCTGATGTTTCCAAAATAGAAAAACAGGCAAGAGAAGAGTTTTTCGCATCTTATCTCTCGGAATATCATCCCCATTCAGGGCTATACCTTCCGATACGATACTTTTGAAGGCTTGCCTGATGCGGCTAAACGATCGACGCTGAATAGACCATAGTGATTGATCTGCCTGATATCTATCCACGAGAGGAGATTATTGCACCGTCGGAATCATTCATATCCCCTCTTTTTTCTTTGTTTATTCTCTTGTGACCCCTTTTTCGTGATATCCCTTGCGTCTCCGATCCAATAATTGGCCCGTCGGTGATAACTTTCCCTGGGCACGTGTGCGCGTCGGCGTTAATGGCTGCCTGCCTGAGGCATCATTCGTATTCTGACGTCATGACCTAAAGTCCGAAGAAAAGGAAAACAAAATTTTGAATAAGCAAGACAGTTAAAAGATCTAGAAAATGAACGGTAGAGGAGGTATTAGTAGTAGTAGTCTTATTGGTGCTCATCTTATACACGTTGTGAGGCGATATCAAGGCTATCAATTCTTTTAACATGGTACTGTGTAGCCCCCAAATATATATAGAGGCTGCTACACCTACTGTTCTTAGCTCTAGACCGTATCCTAGAACTTCGAGATAAATATCACCGACAACATGCGGTAGGTTAACGCCGATGCTCTGCCACAATGAGACACTAATATTTCCACCAGACTTGTCCACTTGACTCTGAATGCTGAGAATGAAGTTTACATTAATTCCGATATATTGAGTTTATTCGTCGGCGATAACAGACTGATGTCACCACTCTCATCCGAACAAGTCCTTCGACTGGCAATCGAGAGATGGCTTATAAATGCGACTGCGCGACTGTATCCTCACAAGTGATATTGTTGACTGTATCAACAATAAGTCGCCGATTACTACTACAACGGTATTCTCTATAACCATCCCGAACCAGTACTACTGATCCACCATATCACCACAATGCCTCGGCATGGCCAGTACATCACGGAGAAGGTCACCTACCCATCCCATGGAGAAACTGTCGCGGGGGTGCTTTTCCGACCGAAGGATATCACAAATCCGCCGGGAGTGGTAATCACGGGGCCTTACTCCTTCATGAAGGAGCAGGCCCCCTACCAGTACGGCACCCGCTTGGCGGACGAAGGATACGCCGCCCTAATCTTCGACCCACGGACGGTTGGGGAGAGCACAGGACAGCCCCGCAGACTGGAGAACCCGAAAATGAAGAATGAAGACATGGTCGCGGGCCTCGATTATCTGGTATCTCGCGGAGATATTGACCAATCCAGGCTCTTCCTCGTCGGCATCTGTCAAGGAGGACCGCAATCGTTAGACGTGGCCTCGTACGACGACCGGGTGGTCGGCGTAGCATCTGTAACGGGATACTACCGCGATCATGAGACGGACGTGTATATGATCTGCGCGGGATGCGTCTCTGTCGAGCCCGGTGCTGATATCTCCTCCCTCAAGATGCCTACACCGGAGCAAGGCGAGGCGCTCTATCAAGCCCGACTCGAACGCGCGCGGGAGGCGAAGAAGCTGTACGAGACCACAGGGGAAGTCATCTATCAACCTCTCGTGGACCCCAAGGCAGCGGACCCCACGACCGGGTCGCTCGCGGGACTGCCGGGCCCCGTGGTATGGTCATGGTATGGTCCATGGACACTAAAGGGTTTCGAGAACCGATACGCGGTTATGAGTGATTTGGATCACTTTGGCTATTCGACTGTGTCCGGAGTGAGTCGGCTCCAAAAGCCCGCCCTGATCATTCATGGAGACAATTGCATGAACGCGGCGGCAGCGAAGCGGCATTTCGACTCGATCCCAACACAAAACAAAAAGCTCATCTGGAACAATGATGTCTCTCATTTCCAGCACTATGACCAGCCGGACTGCATTGACCAAAACGTTGGAGATATTGCCAATTGGTTTGAACAAATTTAGTAAGCCCTGGGAGTCATGCGGTGAGATTTAGAACGAACTTTTCTCTTCGCAGGTTATTCATCGATACTGAGCTCATATCGAGAAATGTTCGCAGCTGACAATCCGGTTTGCTGTAATCATGTCAAGGTTGCCTTTTAATATTATATTTTGTCAAGTCCATGTCACATCACGGGTATCTTATAGGAAGAAAATTTGACATTATTTGTTCTATATTCATCCTTGTAGTCAAAGAGACGCAGTAGGATGTTGTGGCGACCGGGACAAGTGAAGGTCCGTCCAAAAGCGCATTGGTATAGCGACATGAAAGATAGACCATCAATAGAAGGTCGGAAATGTATATTCATTCATAAAGTTCCAGAAGCTGTCACTCGGATACGTGCCGCCGAACTGGAGGGCGGTATCCGGGAGACCAAGGGTCAAGTCATCCGGTAAAGTAAACGGCTGGTTAGTCGCGGGCGAAGTGACACCGGAGAGGTGCTGAAAGAACAGATCTTGCATTGGGTGTGGTGCAGGGGCGTGTATATTATCGCTGGATTCACCATTCATAGATGCACTAGAGCGGTAATTGTCCAAACGCGGTTTTAACCGACGGTAGAGCGCTAGAACTACTCCGTGTGCAGTCCTCGCCATTTCATTGTGTTCCCCTAACGTAGCCAATGTGCTTAACCCCCATTCAATGCTTTGCAATGACTCCTTCAAATCTTCGCGATTCTCCTGCGGGTAGAGGATGTAGATAGCAGCCACAAGTACAAGAGCATCGAACGACGCATATATCATATTGAATACCTTTGGCTGTTGCTGTTCGAATAACCGGAAGAGTCTAGATTGGGCATTAAGGATTTGTAAACCGGCCTTCAAGGCACGGGTGCGGCTTTCTGGCGCGGAGAAGATGTATGGTCTGTGTAAAGCGAGTAGAACAAAATGAACGAGGGACCATAGAGTCTCCCGCGCAGCAGGCAACCAAGTGCAGCCCACTTCCCGGTCATACCGCGAATCCGACTTGTCCGCGCGGCACCAAGAAGGCAAGGAATGTATGTTTTGCATGATAGCCGCGTGGACTTTGTCTACTGTGACGTAGTCTTCCTGTCGACCACCTTTCTGCTCGATTCGATGGATGGTGGGAAAGTATTGATAAGCGGTATTGTAGCCCGCTAGAAGCACGGAGAATGCCGTGGGCGGGTCAGCTTCCGTTCTCTTCGTTGGAAGCGTCCATTCTTGCCGTGCGCAGACATCTTGGGGGAGTGTGAAGGTCCTCTGTTGCAGCTGGGTGGCAATCGGCCTGCCTAAGACAACCGCCATGTGGGTATCCCATATATGCAAGATCAGCCAGAGTCTGCTGCGCCTCTCACGGTCCCAAACTGCCTCTTCTGCATCTGAGCATGGCAGGCGCTGCTCAAAGATACCTTCGTTGAAATGAAGACCCAATTCTTGCGCATCTCGAATCGCACTCCCAAGCGTATGCCAAGCTTCGACCACAAGACCGCTACTTTTCAAGAATGCTGCCCTCAGCAAGCCAGTTTGAACCGTACCTAGTGTAAGACACCTCTTCCCTAGCAGGTCCAGAATTGTGGCTCCTGCATCGCTGAGCTCTTTGGCAACGTCGTGGAACGACATTCCTGGCATATACTTCAAAGAAACGAGTGTTTCATCGTTCGATGGATGGTACAGCAATGTCTGGGCTAAAACCTGAAGTAATAACGCGGGAAACACGCGTATCTCCGGATCTAATTCATTGGGATCGCGTTGCAACATCGAGTAGGGGATGTTCGTCCAAGACTCCAACTGGCGTCGAAAGGTGATCTCATCAATCACGTCGTAAGCCCAATTAACATGGGAGAAGAAGAAATCGAGCAGTTGATGGATGTGATGGCTTGCTGGCAGGTACCGTACGGAGTCTTTGTATTTGGAGGCTATGTCATACTGAAGGTTCCCCCCGACCGTCTCTTTGCTGGCCGAGAACGGGGTTCCGATATAACTGTGCGTCTCAAGCGCTCCCAAGACACCTAGGGTGCTGTGACTGGTATGTGCAGAGTATCCCAGGCCACTGACCAGTACGTTGCGGTCCAACGCTGTGTCTGTGTTCAAGTCCAGCGGCCCATTTGGCTCAATGGTTTTCGAATCCACATTTAGCTCATTGCGAGTGCCAGAACTAGAGGAGTCACCCGAAAGAGGGGTCTTCGGAGGCTCAAGGCCCTCGTACTGGCAAAGTGACTACAACGTATGATTAACGAATTGGAACTCGTAGGGGAGGCTTAGATATTTAATGTAGTTACCATTTTACCTCGCTTGAGACAATTTTGGCAAGGCCAACTGCGGTCACATTTCTGTTTTCGTCTATGACATTCCGTACATGATATAACTGTTCTCTTTCTCTTTCGGGTTCTGGGCATTGTCGTAGCCATAATGATCGGGCGCCAGACGTGTAAAGCATATACTACCGAAAAATGGATTGGAATGTTTTGCGGGGGCCGACTTGATAGCCTTGTTGCCTGGTCTGGTTGCCCCTCGGAGAAATATCCATCCGGTTGGCTGACTCAGCAGGTGTCATAAATCCATTTTATGAATATGACCCAAGGTAAAATAGGCAAACTTGGGCTTCAAAACATAAATCCGTGAGATTTAGCAGGAATGGCGATGGAAGCCGCGTAACAACACGTTTTGCGAATTATGCCTTCACAGGATTCTACTTGCTTTACCCAGGGAACCAAACGAATCTGGAATGAAAGCGAAGGGATCGCCTTCTGGAATGTCCGCCGGTTCATCTGTTTCCATTCACCGGGTGCATGGATGGGGAAATCAGATGTGGTATACGGGGTCATAATGTTCCTCAATTTTCTACTCGTCCAAAATGCTTAATTATCTATATCAATGCAGACCTTTTGGTCTTCTGAATCGCTTCATTTTTAAAAGGCGCGTGGGGTTGGGCAGATCGTGCGTGGATCACGTTATGAATCTTCGCTGGTTTCAGTGTGGAGCCGTATCCAACCGTGACCATACCATGCTGGACCCTCCTCGCGGCTGGCAATAATGGATGGAGAGGTCAGATAATTTAATAGAGATGGGCCGGGTAGTGGAGATTACAATTGCCCGCCTAGAATATTTTGAATCCTCACTGAAACCCGATTTTCATAAGAAAGAGATTTCATGATGGGGTCAGGATCAAGGACCAGATCTTCAGACCTGCAACTCTAGGAAAATTAAACGCATGTAACATCAGCTCTATTCCATCTAAAACACCGTTAAGTGAGTCAGATCCTATACCACGGCATCCAAACTTTTATACCCACTCTGAAACTATCGTTTCAGTTTCAAAAACACCAAATAGATTGTTCAGCCAACACAACCCATAGTCCGCCAAAGGCCCACCCGCCAATTTCTTAACACAACGGGGATGATGTTTTCTAAGAACGGTAAATTCATTAAAGTAACTCTCTCCTCTTCATATCTCATAGTACTTACATTCCTTTCGAGAGATGCAGTACATTTTCAGATCTGGACTCCAATATATTTAACGAAGCTCTAGAACAACTGGTCCTACCACATCTGAACGGTACAACGACGATGAGCGCTCCCTATTTCATGCGTTTTATCTTTTCTCTCAGCGCTTCTATGATCGAAGGCGCAGTCAAGGTCAGTAGGGAACTCTCCATATAACTTCAAGCTTTACCGTCGTAGAATAATCTTAGCAGTCGCGGGCGCAGAGATTTACAAGCCATGACAATATGACGGATCAAGCTTATCTGCCCTGGTATGAGGAACATCCAAATTAGTGTGGATGGTAATGGACCCATTGTAGAGCTCTGCGGTTCTAAATGGTTCTGCTTTCGCCACTGGCAGGATGAGTATCCAAACCGTAAGGCTTGCATTTCAGCCCGAGGTAAAACGATAGGGCTCTAAGATGGAGCTAAGCTCTTCCAGATTGGGCTTAACAATGACGTTTAATAAAACGTATGCCCCCTTGTTTCACAGAATGAGCGGCTGGTCTGTTAGAATAAGCAATTTCAAAAATCATAGGAGCTGGGGTCATCGAGGTTTCCGATGTTATACCGTTCGTGCTTAATGTTCGACTACACTTACAAAATCCCTCAATTTAAATGCGCTCACCGAATAAACTATTCTTACTAAGATCATGGCACTGGGCCCAGAAGATAATCATTGTGAATTTGACGGTGAGAATGTTTTCGCTAGAGACTGTAGTCGCCGTGTACGGTTCTCTATCATAAAGGATTGTCGCTTTTGAAGTGATATAAAACCGCATTATATACATTTAGGTGAGAAACCACTGCAAGAGAACCGGTTGATACGGACATCTATGACTAGAGTTGGAGGAAGCTACAAATGAACTGCGATATAAGAAATATTACAATGGCATCGGCGAGATACCTAGATCCAAATGACTAGGGCAACTAGTGTCTCCGTATTGAGAAAATAAGGTTTGAATCGTAAAGCAAAATCCGGAGAAGGCAGGCCTTCTTCTATCCACATTATCTCCCCCTTTGCCAGAGGTATAAATCCGCGAGAGATATCAATCCAGGGTAGTGCTGCCTGATAAACTTTCCTCAAGGGTGGTTTTCAAGGCGCCGTGATGAGAGCTAGTCCGTGGAAGGCCCCTGGATGAGCAAGGCTTCCCGTGGAGCCCTGGCATGAACCCACGCCTGTTAACCAATACGCTGGTGATTCAGATCAGCAATAATTGGAGCTTGCAATCTCTGGCTAGGATAGCATGGGAAAACTAGATCTAGCCGCATCTTTGACAAGGCGACCACTTATTTTTAGGAGAGCGACCTGGTAAATACCACTAATGGGTTGTTTCCGCCCGCTCTAGGCCTTCTTTACTTTCCTTCATCTCGGATATAAGCGGCTGTGCAATGAGTTTACGCCGGACTCATCCGCGCGAAATGATTGCTTATATCTCAACTACTAAGTAGACTAGCAGGCTATTGCACAAGAACGAAAACTTGGCCCGGCCAATGAGTTAATATCACGTGGGATGAGAATGTTCTCTTGTTGAGTAGTCCTAATTAGGGGCCTGGAAAGGTTTCAAGCAGCAGTAGATCGCACAAGCGAAGTTTATGGGACAACTTAACCATAGGGAGTCATTGAGATTACGAACGACGACTTGAGTGGCGTCGCTGTACGCTGTTTTATTTGACATCCTGCTTACCATATCGAGTGCCTCCAATCATGTCTTTCTCTCCTCTCCTTTTCCTCCCTATCAGCTTTATAATAAAATTACAAATAGGAAAACCTTTTTAAACCTTTTCCTACCAACTGGTAGGATATACTGAACGTAAACATGCAAGATTGACTGTTACTACCTGAGGGTTGCGTTTAAGATAAAGATATAAAGGAGCCTCGGTAGTGGCGAGTCTGTACAGTGGTGCCCCTACTTCTAACTAGCCTCTCGGAGATTGGATTCCGAGATATCACAGCAAGAGAGCTTAGACAAGTCGAGGTCTAATTTACGAGGGCTATATATGCTACCTTCGCCCCACCACGGAAACTGCCATCGAATACCCATCATCTTGGTTCGATACAATGAAGGGTTCGATTTCGTCAGAGATGTGGGAGGGAAAGAAGTCATTAATCATAAAGCTATATCGGGATGAAGGATGGCCCCTCAAGCATGTCATTAAGCGAGTTCGGACGGAGTGCTTTGATCCTAGGTGAACCCTTCCCCCCCCCCCCCCCCCCCCCCCCCCCCCCCCCCCCCCCCCCCCCCTCCCTCCGTTGCAACCAGCCCATTCCTCCTACTCTATCGCTAGAACTACTTTAACCCTTTCAGTCGCTGACTAGATTTATTTTCAGCGAATCCCAATTGAGAAGCCGTCTGAAGAAGTGGCGCATCGGTAAAACATCCCGTCGTCCTTCTCTCGTGCCTCGTCGAAGGTTCTCCCAAGCGATGGACAGAGGTAACGGCCCTGCAAAGGCGATCCCGCTTGGATACGCTGGCGAAATCATAAGCAGGGGCACGCAACCTCCAGATATCCCCTCGTTGGCGGTCGAAGAAACACAGGATCCAGTTCATCAAGTGTTCAGCTCGCATGATATACCTTATTCGTATACTGTCCACAACCCCACACATCCAAAAGATACGCAAAACAGTATGTTTTCGACAACCTATGACCCAGGAATAGATGCAGCATATTGGCACACTGAAGATCCTTGGGCTACGACAACTCACCTATCCTCAACCGAGGGAATGGCACAAACTTCGACGTCTCTGCCGTGTTATGGATATGGGCAAAACGCAGCCGTCTGCGTCTACCCTGCGGTGTCCGGGTCTGATCTAAGTTCAACTTCCATATCAACTGGGTCGACAACCCCAGTGCTATCCAGCCTTGGGGTCGATTCTTGACTATTTGGAATTTTGATGCAAGGGTCAAGACCACAATATGGTGATCACAATATGGTCTAGACACTGTATGACGGCCCCGGAGCCGACCTGCGCTTATATTGTTATCCGTTGAGTCCCCTTCTAAGGCTAGACTATTCTTAAACGTTTCTGGAAGCAAACTGAGTAATTTTGTCTTTTACAAAGCCGAGTCGTATGAATTGCACATATTTTGTTCCTTGTTCTTTGTCCTATTTGCATATATTGGACAGATAATTATCAGTCCATAAATAAGGATATCATCTATTAAGAACCAGCCAGGTGTGCCACGATCTACTGCAGTATACACACGCCATCATGAAATCATGGTTAGATTTGTGTGAATCAAATAGGAGAGGTGGTTCCCCGAACCCTTCAGTGCTTCCACTGTTCCTGTCCTGTCTAACTGTACACTGTTTATCAAAGCTTCCTTTGGAGACAGGCTGAGGCCAGCAGTTCTGTTGTTGGAAAAGGATGCAATGATCAATCAACAAAGTTTAATAGTGGATCTGATTGGGCACTAGAGAACCAATTCCTTCTCTTGGCGTATTAGAGCTAGACTCTAAGCTAGATGTCATTTCTACAGGGATTTGCACCATCGATATTTCTGTTGCGAATAGCAATGAAATCTAAAGCATAAGATTGGTTGTCTCCACATAAAGGAACCTTTCTGGGTGGAGGGCTTCCGAAAGGAAAAGGGGGGGGGGCGATAAGGTGCTCCAATATGAGGACTTGGCTCAAATGACGCCTTAGTGGACCTTCCCGCACCCGACAAACTTAGCTAGCATTCAACCATGGCTGGATGACTCCTCCTCAACCTCGAAACAGATCGGCAATGTTACATCGCATATTAGTCGTGCTCTAATCGTCCTCACGCCTTGCCTGATACAGAGATAGCTTGAACGTGTGCCAGAAAAGGAAAGGAGCGGGTACAACTCCAGAAGACTGTCCAGTGAAAGAGCCCGCACTGCTGACAGACTGGAGTTTGTGGGGGCAACGCTAAGGACGTGGGGGACTTGAAGCGGCTCACCCATCAAAATGAGGGATGAAAGGTCTCGAACGGCCTATGTCCGCAGCTAAGCCAGATTCAAAGAGGTGCCCTGTACTAGGTAGTCAGGGCTAAATTGACAGATAAGATTTGGTGAATGAGGGTCACCCGTGAAGTTCCTGGTTGTGTGTCCGCACATCGGGATCTACTATCCTCCCTGGAGTAGGCCACGCATAAACCAGCCTTATAAAATTGATGTAAACTGATAGAGCTGGTATAAGTGCTTATGTGTGGGATTGGTGGTCCCTAAGGTCTAGATCTATCATACAGAGGCTCCATGGTGTTGAGGTCAGGTCACGTCGTCGCCGCCTTAGCTCCCTATAGGCTCTGACATAAACTGGACGTACCTTCTACAACGAGCTTCGAGCCCTTGGTCGAATATTCATAGAGGTGGTCGAATGCAAGTGTATAATAGAGTTTGAGCTACCTACTTTGTTCATTAAATCAGAAGGCTGCAGCGACTATTAGAATCTACACACTAGGGCTCCAATTGGGAGAGTGCATATCTACCTAGGGACGGAAGTATGACCCAGAATTTGGGCACGGAGTAATCCTCTTCTAATTGGTGCCCTTACTTTGGATCTTGTCACACAATACACCTCCTTTTCCCCCCGGATCTGAAGAGTGTGATCTGGATGGCTCCAAATCTACAACAGAAAAGCCAATACCCTTCATATATTAATTTGATACTTTCCTGCCCTTCTAAATGAGAGCTCCAACAGTTACTTTTATCATGTCCTTCATAGATAAATGCTCGAGGGTGAGCCTATTTAGCGCTATTTACTATCTAGAAGCATTGCTCATGTAGCACTTAGGCGTTACCGTACCCCGACGTTCTCATCTCGATGCCCGTCGGCTTTTTGTGCAGGGATCCTTGGGTAGGCCTTTTATGGAGGCAAACCTCCATCCAATGACTTTCTAAGCGTGCCGGTGAACGCTTGTATCGCAGCGTTAGGAGTGGCCAGGTGCTCTAATGCGAGCTCAACTGCAGTTACCGGCGGCAACCTAGAAAATGTCCCTGTGAACCCCTGTCGCAACACTTGGAAAAGCTCGATAAGATCAGCTGCCTTTCAGTAAAGGGTTGATCAACATTCTTATCAATGTGAATTTCCGCTCTTAGGGGAGCCAATTGCCATAGCCACGGAGTGGCTCCGCCAAGTGAAGATCCCACTCTATCTGGTGGCACTACCATGATGTGATGACTTCCGCAAGTTAGGTTACCGCGGCCCCACTGATCTGGTGACACTAGCTTAGAAATATAAATTATATTTGTTATTAAGTTTAATATAATTTCTTTTTTTTTAATCGGAGTAGGGACGTTTTGGCTGTGGGATTTCGCCGGTGCAACATGTCCCCCGGGCTAGCCTGGAGATCCCAGGGGGGGGAGCGGGAAGAACATGACGAGCGAACCAGTTCCAGGCCTTGGGGAGTCTGATCAATTCCAGTCCTTGTTTTACGCCGCATAAATCGCGCCGATGATCATGGCATGGGAAAGTAATCAAGTGATACCACTAAAAGCGCTTCATCCAGGAAGAGCAAGAAATAAAAATTAAAATAAATTAAATTTTGTAACGTTTTGTATCTAGAGACATCTAGCCTTCCAGGGAAAGCCGTTGGAGCCCACAGCAACATCCGCCGGAACCGAACGCCCTCCAGAGCGCCTGAGTTAGAGCACGGTATGACCGTTGTTGATATTACAAATAATGTTTTCAAATGCTCTCCCTTCTATTAACAAGATCCCTCAGTCCATTTTTTAAGTTTTCGATCATTCAACATGAAACTGTCCTAATTGAAGGCAATGTCTTCCAAGCATCTGCCTTCTTATTCAGTGGAGGCTAGGTATGGAATATTACCAAAAAAGTGGAGATATTTTACTCTTGAAAAAGTGAATGTATTTATAAGGCCATAAAAATGTAGAACTACTTGTACTCTTTTTTAGTTTTATATATATATATATATATATATATGTATATATTTTAACGTGTGCAATGCCATGTCTTTTGTAGGAACTGACCGATTACCTTCTCAAAGTAATACTACAGCGTCCCACATGATTCCACTAGAGTTATTAGCTCTAGGGCATTATCGGCCAACATACTGAATGACGGGACAAGTGGGGTTCTCAATGTCAAAATCCAGAGCAACTCTATTAATCGGCAAAGGAAATATGGAAAACGAGAAGCAACACATATAATTTGAAACCTGTATCTTCCTGACAAACTGGCGAAGAAATGGTAGCAAGGAATACCATATTGGGAGGCTAATGTTCGAGCGGGAATAGGTTACCCGTTCAGAACCCATGGTACGGCGGATTGCAGGCCAAAATTAAGTTCATAGGACACAGGTTATTTTAGCTATGAAGCGTGCTCAAAACAGGCGATAGCAACGTGCATAGTACCTCGGTGCCCTGGTAGCAGAATAAACATGTGGTCCAGCATCAATTGCCGATAGGACGAAACGGAAATCATTGGCAAGGGTGTTGAGATGGGTTTATTCTCACAGTACTCCAATAAAGAGTTATTTATTGTATTTGCCCAATCAGGCTTATGTGTGAATGGGTCATCGTATTAGCCTCACCAGAGTGCTAAATCCACAAGCCATGGTTTAGTGGGTCTTGTAACAATAGCGGCCGCGTCGGGCCACAAAATCTCGCGAAATCTACCTCCCTCTCAAGCCTGAGTTACAACCCGCCGATTACCACGGTGGAGCGTCGATCCAGTCGAGACCTCATAAGGCAAGGTCCCAATCCTTGAGGCCGTCCAGATAGTCAGGAGGAAATGGTAGTAGTGTCATTATATAAAAATATATACACCTGCGGCTCCTAGGTGGTGAATGGCCAAGGTTGCAGCTTGGTCTTTCCTTGGAGCAGTAGCCTTGAATAACTTCGTTTTCTGCTGTCGCATTCTATTAAGATACATCCTCTACTCAGATTTTAGACCAGTCTTCTACCTTGTGGACCCGGAAAAGTAGACCAACTTGCATGTGAGGTTAGATTCCGGGCTACCCTGGAATTATTCCGCCTACTCATCTGATTCATGCCAAGAGGCTCAGGTGTGGTGCTAAAACAAGAGCTGTAACCCCATTAAGACAACGATGTAGAGCAGCCAAGCGATGAAAAACTTTAACTTGAGGCGAACTGTATTCTAGAAACAGCCTCCAATGTTAATACTGTCGCGTTCATCTGGTGCTGTATAAACTGTTCTCGGAGGTCAAGCATCTTTCTTGTCCTGCTACAGGCTCCTACACCTTGCAAATGGGGTATATAACTTGTGAAGCTCTATTAGCTCCTATTCCTAGCTGACCACGCCCTAGGCTGTTGAATGGTTGTACCAGCATTCAGCGCTCTTATTTATTATTACTTTTTGCTTTACTGTGCTTGCGTCTGTATGACGCTGTCCTGCCCATATCAATTCGCCCTTTACGACTGCCACTGTCCTGACATGCCATCATACCGTCTTAGGTATCATGGACAAGATGGAGGACTTCCAGAGTTTGTTCATGAGTTGTGGACAGATGATGTTCCCCAAAAGGCTAGTTCTTCAAGGCTCCGAGGGTGAGGTTATCTCGACTGTTTTCCAGTCTGCCCAAGATATCCTCACTCAGCCGTTCCTGTCATTTAAGGTTGCTTTCGGGTGGAAGTTAACCGAAGCCGTATTCCAACCTGTTGGATACTGGGGACCCTACTACCAGTACAATCTGGTTACAACTGTCCCATCTGTAGCAGAGACAGGATTTACGTCTTCCGACATGCCGTTCTCTGTGGTGGTGGAGGGCTACCAAGGAATACTGTGCCAGACGCTACAAATTGGTGTTTTTCGATACAATCTTGACGTTACTTCCTCTTTCCTAGGCGTCCAAGCCATCTTCGGCAAATTGGGTAACAAGGACAGTGTTAAAAGACACGCTGAGGAATGTCCTCATGACCTTGAGAGGTACCCTGGCACGAAGGCACTATACAGAGCTGTATATAGACCACCTATTCCGCCTTTATCTACCACGGATCCGGTTACCATCAGTGGACGAGAATGCCTACCCATCGTACAGGCTTGGCTTGAGGAGAGCATGGCTCTTGGGAATGATGCTCAGGAACATTTGGAGACAGAATCTCTCAAGTTAACTGGGCGTTCTGAGGATGGGTTCATGGGGGTTGACGGATGTCAGATAGCTTCACGGCCAAACAATGTTGCTGGTCTGCAGGTTTCAGATTCAGCGACCTCGACAAATAAAGCCGATAGGAAGAGGGCTAAGCGAACGGGGAGGCCGACAAGAAGTATCCCCCGCTCGGTGATCATCGATGGCATATCGTCAATGACCCGTGACTGGAGCGCCAATGAGATAAATTATTCAAGACGGGTAGTTTACGTGTCGGAAGTTGTGCAGGAGAACACGAGGAAAGTTGTGTTGTCACCAATTACGCAAGACAAATGGCGGCCTAATACTAAGTGCATCAGTTGCATATATTGGAGAGAGCAGCATGAGCACTATATTACAAGCGTCGACGTGCTTTTGCTTTTAGAAGTTGTCAGTGGACTGAGCTTTGCAGCAGCTGACAGGATTAGGATACGGCGGACATTGGAGCGATTCAAGCCTATTACTATCAATCGAAAAGAGCGAGATTCCTGGACGGACGAGATTTCGAGGCTGATCCTCAACTTACCGGCCCCTAAACCAATGATAATCCAAAAAAGCACAAAGATCTTCAAGTGGAGAACACTGGAAACCATTCTGAGTCGTGTGGTGGGCTAGCAAGCAGAAACAAGCATCCATTGATCACTATCCTGTAATGCTAGAATCGGTAATCTTATACAGTAGATCGCCTTATATAGAATCTCAATCTCTCAAATAAAAGAAGAATCATATATAGTTAATGAGTATTCAAAAATCTTTCGCTACATCTACAGAAACGTTTTGTCCGCCATCTTCTATATAAGTTATGAGTAATCAGGCCTGTTCCTACAACCACCACCAGAGCGTCAACCAACCTCAATATTACAGTAATGTCACTTAATACATCAGAGGAGTAATTTTAAATATAAGAAATATAGCTACTCTCCATACTGCTATCTTAAAACGTTAAAAGAGATATTACCTACTGCATGTAATCTAGACTTTATATTTATAAAGCTAGAAAGGTTAATCATTGCCTGTAATATCATTCTCCAAAATCAAAGATATGTAAAACGAACACTGTACGGGACAAATTTTGACTCCTATTGAATATATATAATTCTCTATTAGAGGTGTTCATGATATAAGACGTAAATTTAAATACTGTTAGAGTTATTCTGATATGAAAAAGGAAAGCCTTTTATAGGAAGCACTGAGACAGTCGCAGTTCATTGACTTGACATGCAGATGATTAAGGCTAACTGAGTAGTGGTGGTGAGGTCCTGGTAGTGGCTGTACTGTACGTATAAGATGTAAAGGGTACAGGAACGCAACACTTAGCTGGGGCTTAAATTTAGATAGAGATTTCTTCGCTATATAGACACTACAATTAACTATAGAATAAATAAATCCTTACTTTCATAACCTACAAAAAGGCCAATGTCCGTATCTATATCCGCCTTTTCGGTGGTGAGCAGGACCATAGCAGCTAACTAAGGCCTCCATCGAAAGGCAGGATGTGTCCAATCTAGATGCTCAATCTCCCTTTGGTTGAGTCCGGCAAGTTCCTGCGCCGTGTTGCGGTGGCTCCTCTCTTTATTATCGCGTTGCATCCAAACTAGAACCCCAACAGAGATCATAAATTGCATGCAACCACTCGCAAGGTTAAGTCCGTTTCCAGTATAGTAATCTGGAGAGTCCTTGACAATGTACGACCAGCTAGAAACAATACCTCCGAGATTTCCGAACAGCACCTGGCTTGATTAGATTTAATACATGGGCACTACAAGGTTCGGGAAGCAACTTACATTTGTAGCGATGGCACTTGCTCGACTTGTATCACTTACAACGTTGGCACTGACTTGTGCGCTAGACAAAGGCCCCACAACGAAGGCTGTGCTGGCGATAAAAAAGCACGCCATGTACCTTATTGTAGCGGAATGTGAAGCCAGGAGCAGGACATAACCGATAATGATCGTTGGAGTAGAAAGCACTATCAGGATCTGGCGTCTGTCTAACTTCCAGCTCAACGCGGGCACGGCAACATCGAAGAAGGCACCGACGATATACGGCGGGACACTGTAGAGCTGCTGTCTAATGGTGGAAGCCTCTGGATAGATGGCAGAAATAATAGTCGGCAAGAAAACACCAAGGCCCTGCACTGTGATATTACTGAAGAAGAATACCACAGCAGTCAATAAAGTAATCGGGTTTAGGGCCCCACGTAGGAGCTTAACGCGGTCAATGTGATCCACAATCTCAGTCTGTCCAACACGCTCCTGTTTTAGACGAAGTTCACAAAAGTACTTCTCCTCTGCCGAGAGCCATATCGCCGTTTCAGGCCGGTCAGTAAGAACGAAGTAGCTCAAGCCACTTAGCGCAAGGGTAATAATACCCTCGATACCAAAAATCATTCGCCATTGTGTCAAACTGCCGAAACGGTTCAGCTGGAGAATAGCACTTGCGAGAATCCCGCTAAATGCTCCCGCCAGTGGGGACATCACAAGGCACAGGGAGAGCCGGAAGGCCAATTCAGCGCGTTTATACCAACGGGAGAGGTAGTAGGCAATCGCAGGTAACATTCCAGCCTCAAAGGCACCGAGAAGGAATCGAAGACCACAAATTTGTGCATGAGTTTGTACAAATGCTGTAGCTATACTGCAGACACCGAAGAGCAGTGATGTCGTTGGAATAAACCATCCAGGACCTATCTGCTTGCACAGAATAGTCGTAGGCACTTCAAAAAGGATATATGAGATATAGAAACAAGACAGGATAATGTTATAGTCATATCCTTGAAGCTTGAGAGAGGCATCCATACCCGCGATGCGAGCGTTGCCTGGTCTTGGTTTAGTTTTGCATTTGTAAAGACATTCAGGGTACGCAATGCTGAAGGGAAAATGAAATAGAGAAGAACAGACCAATATTTGCACGGTCAATGAAACAGAACAGCCAGAGCATTGAGACTGTTGGGATGACATAGAGATCTATCTTGAGCCGTAACTTGCGCTCGTTCTCCTTGCTGAGATGTGAAATCTCTCTTTTGATACGCTATCAATACTCATTCATATCACTCATGTAACTAATTCTCTCCTGTTTTTCAGCAGCTGAGTTCAGCTTACCTTATAACATTTGTCGTAGCTTCGTTTGTGTTTATGTGTGGCTCAGACCATAATGTGTCCCGAATTTGAGAAGCAGCTTGCTCCTTTGTATCCTGATGTTCTGACGCCATATTTATATATTCTCAAGGAAAGAAAAAAGAAAAGCAACCGAAGTGTCTGTTTAACGGCAGGTTGGTGCTGGTGGCTAAGGGGGCAAGGGATAATAAAAGTATCCTAAGGTGAAATGACTAGGAGCTAAAGGTGGTGTAAGTCCGTGCCAAATCTAGAGTACAGCTAGCCAGTGCTCGTGCACGAGGAATTTAGTTATATTTTATACCCTTGTTCTTCCTCGAAAAATTCGTAAAGTCTTCCACCATACTTATTAGGCGTAAAAGAAAGTATTGTAATGATGTGGGATATCTAAGACATCAATCAAATATATCCTTGATTAAACTTCCACGACGAATCTAGTAGTACCGTGGAAGTCTATAGATTCTCTTTATCTTATCATCTTTATTATTACCAGCTCATCTCGTCAACATAATCGTCACTCCTGAATATTTGATATTGGTAGACCCAGCCCTGAGAGCAATATCTCCGTAACAACTATTCTTTGGGAGCACCTTGGACCTGTGTCGTTATTACTTTGTAAGACACGTTATTAGATTCTAGGAGGTTCTAATATCTATACCTTATGTACCTTATGTACTTAGTGGATCGAGATGTCTAGTTATAGAACCCGTTAGATGAAACCCTGTGTATACCAAGGTTCTCTTTTCGCTGGCTATACGTGACGAAACTAAATTAGCTGGCCCACCTGTGAATCTTAACGAGATCGCTGGACTCCAACTTTAATTGATTAACCATCATTTGCCCGCTATGCCCATTAGGACATGCCGTACCACGGGGCGAAAAATTGGCTGGTCGGCGAATTTGGATTCTAAGGGGTTAGATCGGTTTGTTGGGATAAACTCTACCGACTCTGAAACGATAGTAGGTCGTATAACGGAGATATAGTACGACAGGAGCCCAACACGGCTCTTGGAATTTGGAAAGATACTGTATATTATGATGCTACATGGATCTACAAGTTTCAGCTTTGTAGGTCCTGCTTGAATTTGCTTTTCCATATTCCTTCTGTCTTTTCCTTTTTGCCTCCCCCGCGCCCCTTTTCTTTTTTAAAATAAGGAAAGAAAGAAAGAAAGAAAGAAAGACAATAAAGAAGAGAACAACTCCCTATGCCCCCTTCGAACCCCTTTGCTACATAATGCGTAACCAAGTGATATATTCCCCACTAACCCTTCAACTATGATATGAAGAATATAGACGAGAGGACATAATGTCGAGTAAGATAAGACTGGGCCTACATACCTCTGGAGGTTTGCTGGTACCGCAAGCTAAATATAACTTCCCTGTTGAAATACATTTATGGGTCTTTCAAGCCTCCGTCGAACCTAGTACATAACAATAAATTTACATTACATGACTGAAGTGGGGGGTAAATTTTATTCAAGGTCTGGCTCAGTTCATCTTCCATATTTCTCTCTGATCAAGTATTATGAGCCGTATGCTGCACAATCTGCCGGCTTTACGCGGTCATGTGGTGGCCAGACAGCAAGCCAAGGAACTTGATTGAGGTCAGCCAGGTGTATATCGCTCTGCTGGTCATGATCGACCGGCCAGTGTCGAAGCCACTTGCACTCTACCTGCCACCTTATACGTATGCCCCACCAATAAATGCTAACGTCGAGCTCGAATCACTCTCTGCCGCTGGAATGAATCTGACTATCTTGAAGCCATATCGGGATGGGTGGTGGCCACATACACATATTTATCTAGCGAGTCTGGACGGAGTCCTTTGATCCCAGTGGGCCCTCTTGAGTTCCACTCATGTTTCATTTCGTGAAATGGTGTAAGGAAGCCATATGTTTAGGTTCAAAGTGGAGATAGATCGCACTTGAGCTGTACCAGATCTCCCTTGGTCGGTGGCACCGCTGCGATTGAATGTTTGAAACTGGCCTTACCTCCATTCTATTGCAGATGCATAGTCTTTAGTTGCCTTCCGCGAGCCGCCACGATGACGATTAGTGCGATGAGTAGCGGGGAAGAACTCAGCTCAGCGCATATGCCCCAAGCATCTACTTGGGTACATATGCCTGCTATTACAACTACTGAACATCTTAAGTGGTTTGGGTGTGGATCAATAGGTTAATTACTAGAAGTAGAAGTGCCAGCCAGAATAAATAGGTAACCTCCCAAATGTGTCCAAATTACATTAAACAGAACTAAAGCTAGAACTCCAAAACCACTGTAAATGCTATCCAAACTAAATGCCTCATATAACCCTTTGATATACAGTATATGATACTTAAAACAGGTCAAAATCGACCACAGAACCAGGATGTACCTACTCTACATTTTGTTTTTATTTTGTTTCATTATGGATCACGTGCGAAGTGTGAACAACGTTGTTGTTTCAGAGGCCTGAATTTCAAGCGCGTACACGAGCTCGCACCTACACTCTATATTCTCGCGACGTCAGTAGTAGAATGAAACAAAAAAAATCATGTCTCATTTATTATGCCTATTCATCCTGTACAACGACTAGTTAGTAGGTTGTTCCATTGTTTCGGATTCCTTGCCCTCAAGCGATATACTACTTACTATATTTGAAATAGATTAGACCTCACCTCATCGGTTTTGAAACCGAATAATTGTTTATGAAAGAAGCTAAGGAAACTTTTTATAAGTATTTTCTATCCTCTTCATGACAAGTAATCCACAGGCGACTAAGATGTGCTGTCAGTTGCAAGCATTTTTAAGCAGAGCTAGATCTGATCTATCTGATACTCTAGTGCCGCTGTCTTTGGGGATAAATAGATATTATAACAGTACAGATGTGGTCTATATGTCTTTGTCATTCAGTGTGCCCCCGTATTGAGGTATGCAACAATGCTTTCAATACCAGCGCGGTTGTCGTCGTATCGTACCACAGCCTCCCCATCCTGGACAATCATATTTGCCGTGCCAATCGTACTTAAACCGTGGATCACTGTGCTGGTCGTGTGTCCATCGACGCGAAAGATCTCACTCTGGCATTTCTCCGAAGCGGAAGCCTCGGAGCACGTTGTCGAATAATTACTGAAGAAACTATAGAGACCAGCACCATAGATACTAACATTGTGGCTGTCGCGTATGAAGAGGCCCAAAGCGTTGCAGCTCCCTGGCTGACAATCATGGAATTCAGGATCTTGCAAGGCGCGATTGCTGGGAAAGGGTCCGCTGAACGCGTCCGGGCTTGGTTGCCAGTACCTAGAATTATCGAATTGTGAAAGGTCAGCTTTGCCCTGTTGTGCCTTTTCCTTATCCAGCTATGACATAAGGCAATAGCTTACGGAGTCTCTGTCTGAATAAACCCTGCCACGACATTCTGGGCGGCTGAGAAGTAGTACTGGTATAGTGAATGGTGCTCAACAGAAGTGCCGTAGCTGAATGGTTATCAGTTGCGCTCCGTTAGAGAGACATGTACGCACTTACAGCCAAATATTTCGGCCCTCGATCAACAGTCCACGGCCTGTGTATATCGAGATCTGGGTATCGGAAGGATCATCGAGGTCATGGTCCGCAGTCCAAATCCACACATTCTCCAGATAAACATTGGCTGCACTGCCGGTGACGTGCACAGCGGTGAACGCCGCCTCACAGCCTTCAGATGGAGCAGCCGATGTAGGGCACTGCGTGACCTGGAGCTCCGAACCAGTGAAGCCGCCGATACGGGAGTGGACGTCCCACATCCCCGAGCCCCGAGCAGCTCGCAGGTTCCACTCAACGAGTACGGCACCGGGGGTCGATCCCTGGGTACTCACCATCATGTCCGACCACTCAATGTAACCGGACTCGCCATCTCGCCCAACCTGTATGATTGGGATGGCGCGGTCCTTGGTTGCAAATTTGCTACCACTACCCATGATCACAGGGAAAGCCTCTCCGACGATCCGGGAGTTTGGAGGGATATAAATGGTGTCGGTCACACGATACACACCTTGGTCAAAAAAGATTATCTTCCTGGATGCCGCCGCGGACAGTAATGCTGCTTGGATAGCGGCAGTGTCATCCACAGTGCCGTCCCCCACGGCGCCTGCACTTCGAATACTTACAAACGAAGCAACAGGATTCGACTCATACTGAGGCTTCGTTTTCGTATAGTAGTGCGATGATCCATGCGCTCGTAGGGCTGGTGGTCGTGCCACTGGCGTCAGCGAGCCTTTGAAGCTGGCGAGCCCGGACGGTGTATATTGATGGCCTTGTCCCCACGCGTTAATAGTCATGTTATAGATAGAACCAGCTAGAACGGTGCCACTGGATCCATTGATGGCGATAGGAACGTTGCTTAGATTGACGTTCTCAATCGTCAAACTTCCGTTGCTCCATACAGATTCTCGCCAGACCGTGTCCACGAAGACCGCGCAGTCTCGAATGGTACTGTCAATGATGGTGATGGACCCAACTTGCTGAGAATCTTGGCCTCCATTCGTCATATCCACAGCAGTGGTGCAGTTGGCAATATTAATCCCCTGATAAATCCATCCCCAGTTCCAAGCCTGCCAGACTCCCACTCGGGCGTTCGAGACAGTGAGATTTCGAATAGTGAACTGCTGGCTTCCGAAGTTTGCGCCGTATTTCCCACCCGTGATGGCGACATCGGTGATGAAGCCACCGGAGCCTTCAATGGTTAGTATGAGGACCGTGCTCGCAATGCAAAATCAACCCGCTTACCGTTTTCAACCAAGAGACCTTGATGCTCCGTTCCCGAATCCGAGTTCATCATGATATGCACGTTCTGGATGCTTGTAGCCTGTCCGGTTGGCCAGTGGATTCCGGTAGCTGCAACGTCAGCAGGAATATCGGTCATATCGAGCACCAAATTTCGGATTTGTCGAAAAAAGACATTGGTGGAAACCCAGCCCTGATTCCCATCACTCTGGTACTGGTCTCCGTCAATAAGCCAGGTTGCTGGAAATAGCGGTGAAGCCTTAATAATGGGGAGGGCGTTTGGATTGCCAACTAGCTGAGTAAAGTAATAATCGACAATCGGAGACGAAATGACATAGGTCCCAGCAGGGAAATAGACAAGCGCGGGAGTCGTCGTTGACGAACGACGACCAGCAGGCCCGAATCGACCACCATCTCTGATGGCTCGATTAATTGCCGCCGTATCATCAGCAACTCCATCACCTGGACAATGTTCATTAGGTCCCTAATAGCCACAACTGATGGCAAAGCAAGGCTGTGTACGCACCTCTCGCTCCAAAGTCCTTGACGTTGCGGAAAACCTGGTAGGTTGACCGATTGGTATTGAAAGCAGCAATCCCTTGGTGGGCTATATTAGCAAGCCAGTAGGGGGTATCACCCGGGGTCAAGGAAGGAGAACATGTGCTGGGCATGGAAACGCTCGGGTGAGAAGACCTATAGCCACCAGGGATAGACCCTGGGCGAACCGAGCTTTGGGAGGGTAAAGGCCAAGAGCAAGGCGTAAGCGTAGGAGCGGCCGAAGTACTGCTATTAGCATTTGCTGAAGGCAAAGTAGACGAGGGTGCAAAACTCTGCGACGCCGTGACTTCGCAAAGTAATCAGCGTCCAAAGCTTTAGAATTCAACAAAATTGGCGTACCTTCACTACAAAATGAATTTCCAATCCCTACAGCCGTCTGCCATGATGACTTGCAGTCACCAATAGTACAGTCACGGATCCCATACTTGAAATCCGCTTTGCTGCAGAGGCAAGCTGCGTCGTTTTGAATACAACCGAGAGATTCTGTCTCCAGCATATTACGGATACACCGACGCTACGCGCAGTCAGTTCCTAGTATCGCATCTAGGGAATCTCTTCTTATGGTACTCACTTGGCATTCTGCTTGATCATCACCCAGGTTCTGAGCCCCAGCTTTGATCGCAACCAGCCCGACTAAGAGGGCAACACTTGCTCTCATTATAACCTCGTCGAAGGTCGAATAAAGAGTATCAGGGATAAATCAGGGACGGATGCTTCCATAGGGCTGTGCTGGTTAGAGATGTGGTAAAGCGAGAAATCCGGTTGGTACAACATGGTGGGATTCTGCGATTTTATAAGGGCTAAGACCAGGTGAACAAACCACGTCTCGGTTTCATTATGGAACATTGGTTGAAGCCATACGAATAAGCGTAGGATCTTAGGGCTTTCCGAAATAGAGTTGTTTCACCTGTGTTTGGTTGTGGGGCAAACGCCTTGGAACATATTTGGGTATGTCTTGATATCCCGTCCAGGCCGAATCCACAGTGAAACTTAAGTTTGTGCATTGGATTGGGCCTAGCATTTCTCGATCCTTCAGCACGGGTCTACCAGGACCCAATTCATAGGCTATGGCTTCCCGTTCTCTACAGTATCTTCCGTCTCCTCCTAAGGAATTGAGAATCTGAAGGATGTATGTCTTGAGGTTTAGAACAAAAGATTGGCCGCGATTATATAAAACAGACTATGTCGACGTAAATAATGGGCATTGCGGTGTCAACCTGGTTCAATGAAGAAAACCAGACGGACATTGTAATTTGTCGTATCGCCGAGTCTCCCATTTATAAAACAAGATGGCACCTAACTTGCCGTTTGACAGGTTTTGAGGGTTACTTACCAAGGATTCCCAGTAAACTACAGTGAACCATATAGCAATAGTTAAGATAGTATAATTCAAGGCAGAGTATAATATAACTTATAAAAGGAGATCTTATAACGTTAGTGTAAATGTTATGGCACCCCGTATAGAGGCCCTTATCAAGAGCTCTCCCTTAGGCATTGTGAAACATATACTTGTAACGTACTATCTACTACCAGTGGATTTACTCATCAATCTCAGAAGTCAAGAGTGACGCCCTTTCATTGTGGCTGTCTGGTAACTCTGAGCCTTTCGGCATCTTAAATTTGGCAGATCCACGGGATTCTCTGTATTCCCCCAATGACCAACAAGGGCTCCTTAGACAAGGGATGTGGCAAGCAGATCTTCACATTTCGTCTCTAATGAGGCTGTGCTCATTCTAGCACTGGCTGTTTCTCTGACCATTCAAGTAGTCGTCTGGCACTGTCTGTTCATAGACGGTCTTGCGATACGCCACAAATGCCATAGAAAATGAACCTCGCCCGCGATTTGCTCGGGTTCGAGACGGAGCTTTTGGGCGAGCACGCTTCCGCGCACGGTCTCTTCGTAGCACCGAGGCAAATTCGACAGTTGTCCTAGCCATACCATTTCTGGTTCTTCACCAGTTCAATCCTTGGGCAAAGAGACGGGCGACATAATCTATCCGTAAAATCTACAAACCTTGCGAAGGTGAAAGTGATCAATGCCTCGTCAAGCTTTAGCGCGTAACCAGCAAGCCGGAGGCTACCGGGGTTTAAATCACAGGAGCTCTCCGTTACCATGGGATGTTGAATATGTTTGAAGTATTTGTCAAGCCCATGTGGCTTCAGAAAGCCGATGCAACAGCTCTGGCTGACGTCAAAATTCTCAATCCCTTGCATAAGCTGATATATCCGAGCACCCTTTTGTGGTTGTGAGCTGCAGGGAGGGGTGTAGGAAACCTCTACCACCGTGCGTTGCCATAGCGAGAAGTCCTTCCTTTCAAGAGCCTCCTTCCAAATATTCCGAGCGGGTCACGAGCTGAGAGCACATTGATGCTGTCCGCGCGGGTGGCCAAGGGGCTGAAGCTGCCATTCGAACTCGGTCTTAGCCGCAAAGTCTCGATAACAACGCTCACAGAGGGTGACTCCTGCTGTTGCATCGCAATATTTATACCAGTTCAGTGAGGTATTGCTCGCTATCGTACTGTTTTTGTCGCATTCAGGAAGGCTCAAATGGTACGCCGTTTCCGTAGCGAATTCTGACCAGTATTGGACCTGCGTGAGCAGTCTTCTAATGAAGGGAATGGTGACATCACATGCCCAGATTTCTCTATTTTGTTGCTTCTCTGGATGCTCATGGGACCGACCTTTTAGAGACGAAGCTGAAAGTACGTCTTCGTAGCAAGCCTCACAGGCGACAAACGATGGAAGCTTACTCAATCCGGTACTTCGGTTAGAATATACCACACACCAGAGCATGCCAACGAGTGATTGGTACAGAGACGTTCCCTCAATGTAAATTTTGCGGGTGGTTTATACTGGATAGTTGGCCGCACGGCAGTTATATTGAACAGTGACTAGCTTTAGTATTCACGGTAAGCGCAAAAGTCATGCGCCGGCTTAGAGTCGACTAGAGGAGACAAAACATTGTTCTTATACTGTTGCGTCATTGACGGGCTTCGCGGTTAAGACGGGAGAGTAGTGGCGGTGGCACCATCGCAACTTGCGATGTCTCCTTTCCTTGCAGCTGGTCATCGTAACTGGACTGGGTTGTGGGAGCAACCTTGTTTCTCGTTGTCTGACAAGTCTGATGCGCTCGATCAGATTGTGATGGCCCTTATGTGCGAGTCAACGGCTTATGAGGTTCGAGTGGAGAAGTCCCTGCTGCAGGCTCGAAGAGTATCTTGGATGCAGGTAGCACATACCAAGATCCAGTTCCAATTACAGGCTGGCCCGCTGGCGGGGAAGACGTAGAGAGACGAGGTGCCTCAAAATTGGCACCGTTCCGGTGTTGTCCTCTGCTCCTCAGCATTAGGATACCGTGCTTGTTTCGATGGAAGTGGTTGCTGTTGGGTATGAATCGGAGCGAAATAATGAGCGGTCAGTCGCTGAGGGGCTTCTTCTTGGTAAGGAGGAGGATATGGGGGAGCCGGAGCTTGCACGTTGTGCAGCGGTATGCGAGGAAGCGAAGGTGGAGGATGATTGTCAGTTCCACCGTCTGGGCGAGGTGGTGTAGGTGTGGGTAGTGTGTCTGGTCGACGCGGTATTGGTGGTGGTGCGCGCAGGGCATGTTTCTTTGGGCGATATGGAAGTTACATGTCTGTTCAATTGGACTTTCCCAATCAAAAACATGATCGGACGCAGATGTCCTGCAAAAGATGAGGGGGGAGTGTGGGGGATAAGAGAAGGAAAAGAGATAGCGATAAATAAGCCTCAATCTTGAAGCGCCAGTAGTCGTTCCTGGGCGGGTCCACGTCGGCTAATAACCCACGATCTAGAGCTAGTATGTTGCATGGTTAATACGAGGATCCTTTGCCTCGGAGTGTCTCTTCGGAGCCTCGCGACTCCAGTTTTATCACCCATGAAGCTATGCTGCAGTGGCTATTTGGCGTGGTTTTGAAAGGAATCACTCTTGTCCCATAGTTCTGAGATCCTATCCTGCGCTCAGTCGCAAGACAGTCGATTCTAATGACATGGACTCGACGTGCTGAAATCTAAGGGGCCAAAGGATGCCAAGTCTGGCGAGACCAAACCGCATCGTCGTCCGATCAAATCAAAGGTAGCGATTCATGGCGGCAGCTGATCGTAGCTCCTCGGACCAAGAATGCCCAGCGTAGAACCTATAGCTATGGCTTAGTGGTGACAACTCTTGACATGGGGCGGTGGGAGTCTTACGGATTATGACTATCCTGTCCCTTAAAAGGTGATTATGATGATATAGATCGTCGAGAGAAGGAGTAACAAGGAGAGAAAAATGCGTGGACCGTTGAATCGGAGGGATGACTTTGGTGCCTCAGGCATGAATTTGGCAGCCTGAGAATGATATATATGGATCACCAATTAGGGCAAACTCCCAGAGATCTCTTGAAATGAAAGATTTCGAAGTCTTCCAGGCATTCTATGAGCGAGTATAAATTCTCATTGCACAATCCGTCAAGGGAAAACAAATATTCGCCAGGCAGGCACAGAGATCTCTACAAGTGCGACGGCTATCGATCTCCACTCCAATGCAACGATAGGTTCAATAGTCCTTCCTAGGTCAGTTAGCCTCATGCCAGGCGAGTCTCAAGCACCACGTCTCGGGCAGTGATAGGTCAGTTAGTATTTCCATTGCTAGACCAACGCTACCCATGACAGTAGATACGGCGAAATAGAACACAGGTAGCCGACCGACAATGCCTTTCGTGACCCGTACCTGACGGGTCAAACATGTCAATTACAGATCCCACGTATCCAGTGGGATATGAATGACCCTTCCAAAGGGTCGTTGAAGTTCAGGTTGGACCTCGCTTGGGTTCATCAGGTCTGCTCGGTGAGGCGTGGTCCACGCACTAAATGGGTCCCTCCCAACCTTCTTTCATCTTCAACCCGAAATACGATGGGTTGGTGACTCCGAAGAGGGAAGAAGGGCTTGAATCCCAAGATGGAAAGACTATTCCCCTAAGAGCCAGCGTGAATCACTTCGCAACGGGCTTTCAAGCCATCTTTATCCTTATCAACCGACTACAGGGCTACTCATGAGGGTTTCTGCCCTTCTACGACGATGAACCGCCAGGATTTTAAAGACAAAGGCTTGGAGCGGTCGGAACAGTGGAGAAATGAAGCGAGAACCCAATTCGAGTTTGTATTGGAGAAGGATCAACCGGGGATTCGAAGTCATGCGATGCGACAATTCTGGAGGCAGAGACAGGCCAACGCAAAGGAGGGCTCAAGCGACGCGTCCCCCAGCAGTCGCCCTCTCTATCCTCGCATCTTATCTCCGAATGATGGCACCCAGGACCATAACCAGTTTGAGGGACTGAAGGTGTTTTTACAGCAGATGTCAGCTCTCCAGTCAAAGGAACAGAGAGCAGAGTCAGCAAGCACCGACGAAAGCAGAACGGAGACCTCGGGTATCCCAGCCCAAATCCTGGCAGGAGTCCGTCATGCCTTTGAATTTGTCAGTGGCGATCCTTATGATCAATTTCCGGTCACTTTGACGATGGCGCATCGCAAATTAATATATCACTGTAAGTGTGTGGGATCAATGGCCACTGGGAACCACAACATCGACCCTGCTCCAATAGCAATGGCTGACAGCGACAGGGTTGAGCACACACACTGGTGCAACATCCAGTGTGCATCCGACCTTTGATCCGGTCAGAGAAGTGTGGCTACCATTGGACTTCTCAAACACGGCTTCTTTCCACGTCACCATGGCTCATGCAGCGGCCCATTTAGCATACCTCCACGGAGAGCTCGCCTCCCCCGAGGCCCTACATTATAAAACTGATGCGATCAGCGTCATCACAAAATGGCTGGATGACCCCCTGCAATCTCTGAGAAACGAGACACTTGTTTCCGTAGTACGACTGCTGATGTTTGAGGTACGTGTTCCGGCCGAATGTGGCGACAATACATCTTATGTACTTCAGGTCGAGAACCCGCTTAACGTGTTGACCGTTCCCGGCGTGTGCAGAAATACTGGGGAATAGACGGTCAATGGGAAGTCCATCGAGATGGACTACAACGGTTAGTCCACGCACGAGGCGGTCTTTCTGCGCTGCGAGAGGATTGGCGTGTGGAGCTCGCTGTATTTGTGTGAGTCTTCCGCAGAGGATCAATCTTAGCAATGATCACCCCTTAAACATAACTTCGACAAGACTAACGCGGATATAATAATATGATTTACCAGTGCTTCCCTCATTGCCGGACCTTCATCCTACCAGTCATCTACGCATGCGTGGGAGTTGTCGGAGTATTTGACTCCAACTACTCTGCATCCAACTGTACAATCGACGGTTGACCGCCATCGACCAAGAGCCATCGAGAGCCTCCGGGTATACCCTGCAGTATATGATGCAACAATCCTGTTGTACAACACTTTCCAACAGCCCTCGGAGCATGGCTTGCCATCGGCAAACGCCAGTGTGTCTGGCCAGTGGTTGAAGTGCCTGGTATTTCTCAGCGTCCTCTTCCAGGAATCAGTTTATTCTTCCCTATCGGCATTGGTCCGCGACTTGGGTATTGAATATACATTCACGAACAAGTTGCCCGCACTAGATGAATCATTGGAGATATCGCGGCATCGTTGGGGAGGAGATATCGAGGGTCTTTATTCGCACCTTTTTGGTGACTTCTGCCATCACAGTGACCTGCAACGATCCCCGGAGATGGACTTTATCATACGCTTCTCAGACGGCTTAGAACAGCTCAGTGAAAACGCACGCGGAACCATTCGACTATGTCTCCTGGGTATGCTTCTAGAAGGATCATCACCAAGCTAATACTATAGCTTAGATCGAAATTTGGGGGGTTAAAATCAGACCATGGAAAATAATAAAATGACAAAATGATGGATGAACTGGATGATATCCGTAAAAGGGATAGTCCTATGGCCGAACGCGGTAATACTAATCAACCACTCACAATGCATTTATTCTTATAGTACTATGGATGAGAACCAGTACTACTGTTTCTTCTCTAAAAGCACCTCATCATAAAGATAGTTTTCTTCAAATCGACGAGTACAGCCCTACTTTCCCCGATTCTCCTTGCGAGAGAGAAAAAAAGAAAAGAAAAGAAAAAAGAAAAAAAGAAAATTAACCTATCTACCAAGCGCCTCTTAGCGGTGTCTCTAGTTCCTGGTGAATCAGCAAAAGAGAAAATTAAATAGAACTATGGACCACTAGGACTAAAGGTTACTCTCGGCCTCACACATTGCTAAAGGTGTATATATTTCTGGCTTGCAAAGCTATCAATTCCTTTACTAACAATTCACCATGCAGATGTTCTAAGGGAGCAAATCAGTTGCATTTATTCTCATAGAATGACTTAGGAGAGTATCTCACTTTCCTTGCCAGGTAGTATCACGAAAATATATTAGAATAGGGCTCTCGTTTCAAGCCAAAATTCTCCTTTCCTCTCTATAATTATCCCTATGTCTCCGTATCAATTCATTAGGGTATCTACAAAGCTCCCAACATCATATACCTCCACAGGAGTTACATCCTCCAAGTACTCACTTAAGACAAGAGGCGAACAAACCAAAAGGATAACCTGCGACAATCCAAGGCCACAGCGATTATTGACTCTTGTGTATGAGCATAAACGACGTACCATCTCATTGCTGTGTCATGAAGAATAACAATGCAAAGCCGACGGGCAAGCGAAACTCGGGAATGACGGCAAGTACGGCGAACGTATTCTACCACGGTCAGTATCGGATTATTTAGAGGAGATTGATCGTCATCTTGCCTGACTTCTGCGGGTCATTGAAACCAGGGCGAACGGTTCCCAAAGGCATGCTTGTCGCTGGGCGTTCAGAACCTTCACGGGCAAGTATATTCGCAGTCGTAGCGATGTTTTATGAGCTTCGTAGCTTTGAGATCTACGATATTGTTCATAGAGCAAGTCGCTCATATCCCTTTCTCAGAGCACTTGGAATCTTGCTAATCAATTACTTTAACTTATAGCCACTGCTTTCGCATGTATTACCAACCCACTTGATCGCCTTCCAATGCCCTGAGCTGATAGAACATTAGGCTGCCCGTCATTACGAACACCCATTCTATACCAATTCGGCCGGAACAATCTGCCCGACAGTTGCATATCTACTGACGGCATCAACCAAAGCCTTTCCCCAGCACTCTGATCACCAATGGGCCCTGCGCGTATTAGCAATCTGCTACACGATCGCATTCAGCATCATGCTCGTCTGGCCCTCAATCATGTCCCTTGTTGTTTCGCTGGTCCTCTTAGGGGCTCCACACTGTATAATAGATACGATAGGGGTGGAGAGGGCAGAGCTTGGTCCCCAGGGTTTGTTTTTCCACTACGGGCTCTACGTTATTGGAGGGATACTCGGTGGCTGTATTGCAGCTTTCTTTTCTGACACAAGCCTTTCCGCCGCATAATTGGCTTTCTTTAGTGGTAAGTGACAAAATTTCTGACCTTAGCCCATCTCTTATGCACATATTGGGGAATAGAGGTCTACCTAGGGGGTATATGGATGCGTGGGTAACAATAGGACGATTGGCAACATAAAAGCCACTAAGCATGCATGTTGTAGAGGCTTTGTTTATAAGACACGACGGAATAACCCTTATGGATTATAAGTACAGCACAGGTTAACATGATGTATAGTTGCGATCAAGGTCAACCCTCTACTCTATCAAGCTATCATGTCCCATGTCGAAGATCAACCTAAGCTAAGAACAATTTGCACACCATAAATATTTCTTTTTTCTTCCTTAATTAAGAATGATCCCATAGGTCAAGTTAGTAATTATAAATCCTGGGTGCTTAGTCAGGTCTGAATTCTTCAGCCTCCGGCATCGCTGTCTGGACTCCATCTCCAGAACCAATAACTCCTTCGCGGCCCCTGGGGGAGCACCCCACAAGGTGGAGAACAACCATGGTGCAAGATGCAAGCGCGATGTGGTGATTGGCGAAGAGGGTTCCCATATTTCCGGAGGCAAAAAAAAAAAGAAGCTCTTGTCTTTCCGACTTGGCCGATCTCTTGTCTCGTTCCATATTCTATGGTGATTCAAGTTTAGAGATTGACTTGATTCCCATCGGCAGATAATGGACAAGTCCACTTTACCGCAGGATGCCATCCATCCAGAAACCTTGGACGAGTACGATGTGCCTCCCAAGGACGATCTGCAGCTCAATATTGGCGGCCGGGGAGCCACGCAGCGACGACTGCGGAACTACCATGTCACCATGATCGGTTTCTGCAGCGGAATTGGGACTGGCCTGTTTGTGGGAACAGGCGCTGCCTACGCCAAAGCCGGTCCAGCAGGCTTGTTGCTGGCGTATATCATTGTGGGCATGGTATTGTGGTGTGTGATGCAGAGCATCGCCGAGTTGGCGACACTGCTGCCCACCGCTGGATCCTTTCCCCACTGGGCCACCCGGTTCATCGATCCAGCGGTCGGCTTCTCGCTGGCCATCTCGTACGGATACTGCTACACCATCGCCATCGCCTCGGAAGTCTCTGCAGCGGCGGTCATTGTCTCCTATTGGACGGACCTGACGCCTGCCGTGGTCATCACCGTGGGATTGGTGTTGATCCTGGCGAGCAATTTGATGAGCGTGCGCTTTTATGGCGAAACGGAAGTCTTCGGAGGTACTGTCAAGGTGCTCTGCTTCCTCGGCTTGGTGATTGTTTCGATCGTGATCACCGCAGGAGGTGGCCCCAAAGGTGATAGCATCGGCTTCCGATATTGGCATGATCCTGGCCCGTGGACCAATTATAACGGTATTACCGGCCCGACGGGACACTTTTTGGGCTTCCTGTCGTCCTTTGTCAACGCATCCTTCAGCTTCATCGGCGTCGAGACCGTTGTCATCACCGCTGCCGAGTCTGTTGACCCTCATCGTGCGATTCCGAAGGCTGCCCGCCGCGTGACCTATCGGATCGCCTTCTTCTACATCCTCGGTGCGCTGCTAATCGGGATTATTGTCGACCCGCGCAACGGGGCCCTGGTCTCTGGCTCCGATAATGCAAATAGTTCGCCATTCGTCATTGCAATCAAGGAAGCCGGCATCAATGCCTTACCATCGATTGTCAATGCGTGTATCCTAATCGCTGCATGGTCGGCGGGCAACTCTTACTGCTGGGTGGGCTCACGCATGATGGTGGCCATGACGACGGACCGCCAGTTGCCGCAGGTCTTCGGCCGCGTCACCAAGAAGGGGGTGCCATATGTCGCCGTCATTGCCTCCTGGCTCTTTGGGCCGTTGGCGTACCTGAGTAAGTTCAAACGCTCCTTTCCCAGAGCATCGTATCCGTCACGTACTAACCAGCAACGGTAAACAGGTCTCGGGACCGGCGGTGCGGCGCAGGCCTTTGCCTGGCTCCTCAATCTCAGCACGGTCGCCGGATTGATCGCGTGGGCAACCCTCTCCTTCTGCTATATTCGCTTCTACGCCGCAATGAAAGCGCAGGGGATCCCTCGAGAGACGCTTCCCTGGATGGCGCCGCTGCAGCCCTATGCCGCGTGGGTAGGCTTTATTGGCTCCACCATCATCACTCTAGTGGCGGGCTTCCCTGTTTTTCTCAAGGGGAACTGGTCTTCCTCGGACTTTGTAGCCTCGTACATTGGCATTCCCATTTTTATCGTACCGATCATTGGCTGGAAGCTCGTCCATGGTACCAAGGTTAGTCTGACTCATGCAGCAATCTTTTCGTTTGGGAAACTCGCTAACTAGGGTCAATGTACAAGTATGTCCGTGCGGCGAATATGGATTTATGGTCGGGTCGTCTGCAAGAAGGCGAGATCGTGGAACAGAGAAAGCCTCCCGACACCCCTTGGAGACGCTTCGTCGACTGGCTTTTCTAATTCATTCGAGGATGTATATAGATGTATATTTTTGGAGCGATGCTTCGTACCTCTTCCATACGTTCAAGATGGTTTATTTGCGAGCAAGTATAAACTCTTCTTTTAAACGCTTCATAACCAGAAAGTTCATGATTTTCATGTGGGTCAAGGTTGCATCCCGAAACTTCTTCATGTAACCATTGGTAGCATTAATAGTTCTTATTCGTACTGAGATGACTCACTCAGCATCATATAACAATCTTCGCTAGTCTTGACTTTTTCCTATTTTTTCAACCTCATTACAACCACAAGCCTATCGAAACTTGATTACATCCACCATGGATATTCACGTCCGACCAGAAACACAGGAAGACACAACAGCGATCGAACGCGTTACGATCGCGGCCTTTCTCAACACTAAACATTCCTCCGCCACCGAACAGTATATCGTTCGGGACCTCCGGGAATCCAAGCAATTATCGATCTCCCTTGTTGCAGAAATGAACGACAACGTCGTGGGCCATGTAGCTATATCACCAGTGCATATTTCCGACGCCAGCACAGACTGGTACGGCGTGGGCCCTGTGTCTATCCTCCCAGAGTACCAACGACAGGGTATCGGCTCACTGCTGATGAAACGTGCTCTTCATGACCTTCAGACACGCAATGCCGCAGGGTGTGTTGTTTTAGGAGATCCTGCCTACTATACACGATTTGGCTTTCGGGTTGAGCCATCGCTCCAGTTTCCCGATGTGCCAGCAGAATACTTCATGGCTCTTACATTCCGTGGCTTGGTACCGAATGGGACTGTTACTTATAGCAAGGCGTTCGAGTCTAAAGAATAAGCGGTTTATCGCCGATAATGAATAAATGTTATTTGACAGGAGGGTCATGAGGAAGGACAGATATCATCAAGTGTAGTAATAACAGAATGGCCCCGAGAGCGTATCCATCAAGTCTTCAAACTTGACAGGCTCCGCAACCAGTCGAAAATCAATCATCTCATCCAGCGTCATATTGGCCGACGGAGGATTATCTGCGAGAGTATGCGTGCCCCAGATGGCATACCTCCTCTTCTCTGGGTCCAACGCCTGCCAAGTAGACCAGACGCGATCGATCTGCGCATGATGTAAATAGAACATTGGATCGCCCGGACTACCAGCTGCATCCCCCATGACCCGACCAACCCCAACATGGCCACCACGGTGGACGCCGTACGGGACAGATGGCATTGCAAAGCGAGGGTCTTTCTGCATCACCGCCTGGAACCAATCGATTGTGTCATATTCCAGAATCAGGTCCGTAGTGTTCTGGAATGTGATAGAGGCTCGTGTGACGGTGGGGTTAAGATCCCGTTCCAAGCAGTGAGGATTATACTGAAAGTTGTAGGGAACTGGTTGCTGGCCTGCGGCATTGATGGGACCCATGTTGACGGTGGAATTGGAAAACGGGCCTTCATAAACGCATCCGCCCCCCGTGCCGACAGGGATGTACTCCTTAATAGAGGGCCAATATGCCGGTTCTCGGTTAGGAATGAATTCTCCATTCGATCCCATACTATACGGGTCACCGTTAAACAGACTGGAATTTTGGGGGTCCTCTGCATCAAACCCCCATTCCCAGTACGGGAGAGATCCGGTATATTGGCATTTTGACTTGAGGTCTTGCTCAAATGAATGGATAAAGAAGCGATGCCAGGCGAGAAAATCAGCCTATTGTTCTCGTTAAAAAGGAATAAATCATTTGGACTATATATTCAATTCATCTTACGGTCATGTGGATAAATCCCACAAGTTCGATGTGTGTTGCCAGAAACTCGTCAAACCGGGTTTTCACTCCGGGATAGATCTCCTTGAGGTCGTCTGACAAATTTGTTGGAATATTCTGCAAGCATTGAACGGCTTCTATGAATTCCCTTCTCTCCATTTGTGATAGCTCGCGCCTAGAAACCAGGTTAGAATGGAATTTGGTTTAAGCGCGCGATCGACAAAAAGACACACCATTCCTTGCGTACTTGGGCATCCTCGAATCTGCAGCCGTCTGCCCTATGCCCCTTGATATTTTCAGTTGCCTCATTGACAAGTCGTTTGAGGGCGATGCCTTGCCTAATGTCCTCTGGTGAGAAATGGTAGGTGCTTATACCCAAGATGGCCACCGGCCAAACGGCCAGCCAAGCTAACACAGTGAAGTGAAGATACATCTCAACCGCAATTTACTCTATTCTAGCAATTGAAGCAAGTCGTTGGGGTTGAGCCCAGTTAAGATCCTCTCTTTGCTTGGAAGGCCATGGACCCCCTTGCCTGAAGATGACAAAGCCTCAGTGACACCGCAGCATTCCTGACGTGTCACATCCATATAACCTCGGCCGCATGCAGCACCGTTCTGGCTTAGTTTCTAGTTTATCCGGTTACTTAATATTGGCTTGACGCCAGAGTTCGTATTGCCCTAGGTTACATTTCTGTCGCGCTTGTGAGGAAGTCGAGAGTTTTGTCTACTACCTATACTGGGCATCGCTCATCAACGAATTGGTACATACATGCCAGAAATGGTATACTTGATCATCCAAAAAGCGCCATAATTATCACAGTATGTTTTCTACACGTTCCTCTGAAAGTAAACGCGGGGTTCGACATACTTTTCGGCAGTTAATGAGATTAAAAGGTCATTCTTAATAGCTCCGGGGGCTTTTTTTTGCCAAATATGGACGGACGTCTAGGCCATGCATAAACAGGAACAGCTGTGCCTCTTAATACCAGCAGTCTAGAACTGGGCGCCATGTCTAGCCTTCGTACTCATTATAACTTGCAGTTTAATTATTAGCAACTCAGCCCAAACCGTACATTGATGTTTTGCGCGCCGTGGTCTTGATCCGTGGTCACACCTTACTGGTTGTAAAATGTTCCCTAGATGCAAGCCTTAGGAGGCCCCTGCTATTCCTTCTCCACAAGTTCTGTCGTCCGCTTTCTGCACATTCTTGCCTCAGTTTGTCGCCCCGTTTGTTTGCTATATACAACACACCCTTGGCAAGATCTGATTCCTCCCAGCCAAGCATTGCCCACGAATCACTAAACCCTAATTCGCATGACCGTCACTAGTCAAACTATTTAGCTTAACAGCAGCCATGTCCTCCCAAGACCGGTCTGCAGTAGTGAAAGTAGCGGCACCATGCTACTAGCTAGAAGTCAGTGTGGAACTCACAGTATTTCCTATCCATCTCTCTCCAAGATTTGGTACAGTAGAGTAGCATGGCGATTCCGTTTCGTCCCCCATTTCATCAGCGTATACTATTTTGTCTCCCGGTTCAGGGGGTTTTGCCATGGTACCTTGATCTGAATTGGATAGCTAATATGAACATGGTTAAACGACCTGATTAAGCTAGAAAGTCAATTAGATAGCCTGTGTGTAAATTCAGAGATTATGGTCCTCATCAAGTGCTTTCACAAAGATGCGAGATGAGCTCCGCAATTTCAACGTCCTTTGCCCCGGACTTCTTCCTTCCATGGAAGTTCGGCGAACAGTCTGCCCATGAATAACGTGGATGGTACGATATTAGACACTGTAGTGTAAGGTTGCGTAGTAAAAAGGCAGTTGAGGATATTCCAAGTCTTGCTTTAGGTGGAAGCTGCAATGCAGGTTCACTTTTACACTTCAATCACCAGATGTAAGAGAAGTCATCATCACCGTGAGCTATAGACAGATTTCGCTAAAACCAAGTAATTGTAAAGTATTATTCCTTTACTGTTTTGGGTTTTCCAACATTGGAACACACAGCACCGCAAGAAGGAATTGTAGATCACTCCTGTGGTCACGGTTCCGTGGTCGCACTGATATACGGGTACATTGTATACATTTTCCCATGGAAAGCACAATGAAATTCATCTGGACGTCTGTTCTTATCCCTCCCACTGTACAGACATACCTTATCCATAGATACTTAGCCCTTACAAGCTCTATTGGCTAGCTCGCTGTCCCTTCAAGCAATCTCCCCAAGAGGAAACCGAACAAAGGTAGTCTCCGGCACCATCAAGCCAGACGAGCCAGCATAGAACGCAACAAATGCGCAAATCACAGTAAAGGCACCACCAGCCTTGTTAACTCGGACACTGTGCTCGGGATACTCCGTGGCAATGAAGTTTGCAACGCTCAGGAGAAGGAAAGCAATGACCAGAAAGAAGAAAACAAGGATAATACATATATTGGTTTCTCAACGCCGCAATGAGAAATAGGACGGTCAAGAAGCACCATACAATCAAATATATGTCAATTGCAAAAGAGTAGGCCCGTTCATCCTCGTTGTACTGCCCCTTGATATCCAGCGATGGGATGAGAAACATCGCATAGCTGAGCCAAAATGCCGCGTAGGAGCAATGCACCGTGCAGCCAAATGTGTTGCCCACACGGAACTCGAAAATGCCGGCCACAAACTGGGCTCCACCTCCCATGAATATTGCAAGTCCGAAGGCGGCTTGGTTTGGTCCAACCTTAGTTTGAGGGTTCGAGTGTGGCAGTCTAAGCGTACAACCTCGGTGTTAGCAAGTAGTTCCTTCACAAATCAGGCATGAGCACTCACCCAGCACCGCACTCATGAAGGCCCAGGACAAATGTTGTCAGAGCGAATCCGAGAAGCCCCAGCGGGCCAGGGTTTGCCAGCTTCTGATATGGAGGCAAGGGCACTTGCGAAACTGTATGGATATGTGCCTGCTGCGGAGGGCGAGGCCCCACAAAGCCATGTTCCGCATCTGAGGCTGACTGTCTCTTCTTCTTGAGATGGAACTGCGACGACCCCGATTCTGTCGGGCCTGCCTCTCGTAGGTCGGACATTTTGCGTTTGTGTTAAGGTCGTAACAGTAAGTGAATAAGTATCGTCGCAGGGGGTATAGAGTAGAGGTAGGAAGGAGAACGTGAGTTAGGAGCTAAGAAGTTTCATAGCATCTAGAGAAGGCATTTTATTTTATACCTCAAACCCCAGTCTACGGCAAGTGATTGATCAGCGGCGTTCCTTCCAGCTGAGAGACTCTCTCAACACCGAGTTAAACTTAATATTAGAAGCCTACCCAGGGGTACGGGACTTGAGACATAGCTGGAATAGCCTTTCAGAGATCATCAGCTACATCTTTCAATTCTCCACTTATACTACTTCACTTAGGAGTTATTCCTTGCCGGTTAGATGTAACTTTAACCTCTCATCCACATATAGGGGATGCCACGTCGGGAGAACTTGGGCCTATTGCTGGAATAGCTCCATGCTAGCAGAACTGATATTTATGGGATTAGTACCACAGTATGTTCCTCATAGTTCGCTCCGCAATCCTACAGCTACACTATAAATTATACCCACACATACGGGGTCATGTGGGGTGAACCATAAGGTTCCTTTCACTCGCCGTCCATGAATAATTGAGTCAAATCACACATTCTGGAAGGCGAGAAGCTAGCGACAAGTTGGCAGGATGATTTTCTCTAGTCTCCTTCGTAAAACCCCCTTGATTGTCTACACGATGTTAGCTGTGACTTAGGCCTGTGGTAGAATGAGGAAATAGCTTATAGGGCACAGATTACTGGAGGCATATGTCCAAGTAGAACAGAAAGGTATCTGCATATCTTTTGACCATCACAGATCGAGTTGTATCGGAGATGTCCAGCTCTCAGCGCCAAAGAATGGTCCCACAGATACGCAAGCTTGGTCTTCGAGGAATCGATTGCCAATGCAGCGTGGAACAATTAGCAGAAGTAGAAGAGATAGTTAAACATAAAGAATTACCAAAAGATACAAGTAGAAGCAGAATAAACCAATGAAACCACCCCATTCTCGCTGATATAATCGCCGAGTTACAGCCTAGTTTTTGCCGAAACGTGTGCCGATTGGCCGGATGGTGTTACCGCAAATGGTATGGTGTTTCTGCCTCAGGAATTCGGAGTCAGGAATCAAGGCAAGAATGGAAGAGCGAATTTCCTGAAGGAGTAGAAGTTAGCAAAAAATTTTCATTTTTAGAAGTACAAGGATTAATAACATCATATGGCGTTTCATAGATACCGGACGTTCCCGAGATAGTATATAGCAGAGTCACACCCAAATGGCAGGTTTGGATCTAGTAATTCTATCATCTCTCACAACTCCTCATTCAGAATGCGGCCATATTACTTGTGCGTTCCGTCAAAAACAGATCGCGGCCCTCTGCGTCCTGTGGATCTTCAGTTAGCGGGTTTCCCTTGTATGACAGATCTGACAGATCCAAAAGACCGATCCGCCGGTGGTACGCTTCCCTATTACTATAGACTTCAAAAATCTGTCAGCTAAAAGCACTTTTTCATAGATTTGGAAGAAGGATCATGCAGCTTGTGCTTTAGTACATTTGAACCCGAGACTGCATTCCGGCAGTTACCTTGTCAGCATATATTTCACCAGCCGTGTATAGATGAATGGTTGTGCAAGCACGATGCAAGCTGCCCTCTCTGTCGACAAACCTTCTACCACTTGCGGCAACCATACATAATAGAGGAGCCCTTCGAACAGCGCTCCACCCCGCCAAGGTCCCAAGAGGACATAGAGGCAGAGCTTCGAGAGGCTCGACAATTGTTTGTCAAGTGGTGGCGAGACTTCTTTTCACTATCTTGGCTCCGTCATGGTACAATGATTACGGAACGAAAACGAGACCAAAGTCAACAGGGGCCGTATCCACATAGATGAAGACTTGACAAGATTCAGGGCCTGCGGCAGGAAATCTAGAAAAGCCGGCAGTGTGTTCGATGATTTGGGCAGAAGCTTGGGAAACCCCTATTTTGACTCCGGTCTGGGCCAATGCTCTATATGGATCTAAAGGTAAGTGTTCGATCTTTGCAATATATCATGACTTCTAACAAGAGCAGGTCCTATCTCACTTCGCAGGTCACTGGGTTATAGATCTCCCGGTTAGATCTTTTCCAACAAGGCCAATTTGTTTGACAAATGAGCGGCTTGGGTCATCCGGCGTGTCTAACCGCTATACGCCACTGCACCGATCTATTGATCGGCTTTCACACACTATGAGTGGTCGATAACTGTCTTGCCTCTGTCGGGGGTTAACTACGCAAATGCCGATCTCGGGATCTCAACTGGCTTCACGACATTCAATATAGACGATATCTTGGCGCCAAGCAACTTCCCTCCCATTCGATTGCGGGGTTTTCAGTCGAAATTTGAGGTTCTGCATGGCGTGATAGCGTTGCTGGCGTCCAGTATCGCTTGAGGACTTTCCCCGCGCTCTGGCAAATCCCCGAAGAATACCCGTTTTCCTATGCCCGACCCAAGTATGTTGAAGGATATTAATCCGTGCCGTGTCGGACATCTTCCGATATCACCTCAAAGAAATGGGTACTTCCCGGTTTCTCGATATCTTTGGCATGGTGTTGACAATAGGAAAGGCTTAAATAGACCCATCGAACCGGGGAATAGATATAATAAAGATCCTAAATAGTGGAATTTCTTCACCCCCATGAAGGTCTTGTCACCACTAGTTTCCATAGCTCTCGCACAGAACACGCTCTGTGCAGCGAATGGATATACCAGTGAATCAGAGGTCCCATACTATGGCCGAAGCCCTGCCGTATACCCCTCCCGTAAGTTTGGTCCACAGGTCTCTGTCTCAATCGAACTGACCAATATCCTCAGCCATTGGAGATGGAGCGACCAGCCCAGTCTGGCAGGATGCGTACCAGCGCGCCAAAACCCTGGTCTCTCAACTAACCCTCGAAGAGAAAGCTAACCTCACTCGAGGCTTCAGCGGTCAGTGCGTTGGCAACACTGGCGCGATCCCGCGCCTTTCTATCCCATCGCTTTGCTTCGCCGATGCGCCAGATGGCATTCGGGGTCAAGAGTTTGTGTCGGCCTTTCCTGCAGGTATTCATGTGGCGGCAACATGGGATCGCTCGCTCATGTACCGCTACGGCCACGCCCTGGGCGAGGAGTACCAGGGTAAGGGGATTAATGTCGCCTTAGGTCCGGTTGCAGGGCCGTTGGGAAGAGTGGCGAGAGGCGGGCGCAATTGGGAAGGTCTAGGGGCTGACCCATACCTTGCAGGTGGAGGCATGGGGGCCATCACAAAGGGATTCAAGGATGCGGGAGTGATTGCCACGGCGAAGCATTGGCTCTTGAATGAGGAAGAGTGGAGAAGAAATCCCGGTGATATGGGAGAGGCGCTCAGTTCCAATGTCGATGACAGGACCCTTCACGAGCTCTATGTTTTCCCATTCATGGACTCATTAAGAGAAGGGGTCGGAAGTGTCATGTGCTCCTATCAACGCGCAAACCACAGCTATGGGTGCCAGAACTCAAAGCTCCTCAATGGTGTATTGAAGACCGAGCTCGGCTTTGAGGGGTTTGTGGTAAGCGATTGGGAAGCTCAACACGCTGGTGTTGCCTCGGCCAACGCAGGCCTAGACGTTGTCATGCCGGACGGTGGGTTCTGGGGTCACAATCTGACGGAGGCTGTCAGCAACGGCAGCGTCAGCAGCGAGCGACTAGATGATATGGCAACGCGAATCTTGGCGACCTGGTTCTCTGCCGGTCAGGATGAGGGTTATCCTTCCCCGGCCGTTTACTCGGAGTCGGAAAAGCACTCACCTGTTGATGTCCAGGCAGACCATGCGACGTTGATCCGTGAAATTGGGTCCGCCGGAACTGTTTTGGTCAAAAATGTCGACAACGCACTGCCATTCACGAATTCAACCAGATACCTAAGTGTCTATGGCTACGATGCGACGGTTAGTGAAGCTCCGTGGGCGAATCCATCCCGGTATGGTGGCGGCTACGAAGTGAATTTTGGATGGAACACCTTCAATGGCACGCTCATCACCGGGGGTGGCTCCGGAGGCAGCACTCCTCCGTACGTAGTGAGTCCCTTCCAAGCCCTACAGGAGCGAGCCTCGCGCAATCGGGGGACTCTTCGCTGGGACTTCTACTCCGAAAACCCCTCTCCTGCATACGTGAATAGTGACGCCTGCCTCGTATTCATCAACGCGTATGCTTCGGAGGCCTTTGACCGATTGAGCCTTACAGACGAGTTCAGCGACAACCTTGTACGCAACGTTGCCGCCAACTGCTCCAACACCATTGTTATCATCCATTCAACAGGTAAATCCACCAATTCAACCCCAATAGAAACTAATCACTGACAAGCATTGAATGAATCAGGTATCCGTACTGTTAATGCGTGGATCAATCACCCCAACGTGACTGCAGTTCTCTTCGCCGGTCTCCCCGGCCAAGAAAGCGGCCATTCGCTTGTCGATATCCTTTACGGTGATATCAGCCCGTCTGGAAGGCTTCCCTACACCGTCGCTAAGAACGAATCTGACTACGGACACCTACTCAATTCGACGATTTCCTTTGACGCATTCCCCGAAGTCAACTTCACCGAGGGCCTATACATTGATTATCGAGCCTTTGACCGCGACGGTATCGAGCCACGGTTTGAATTCGGCTTTGGTCTGTCATACGCCACCTTCCAATACTCTGACCTGGAAATCATATCTACCCGGAATAGCATTTCCCCTCTCGTGGATCCCAAAATTCCGATTATCCAAGGTGGACATCCAGAACTCTGGGATGTCTTGTTTAACGCTACCTTTTCCCTCACAAACACGGGCGACGTATCCGCTTCCGAGGTAGCGCAGCTATACATCGGCATTCCCAACGCTCCTATTCGACAGCTGAGAGGCTTCGAAAGGGTACCCCTGGAATCAGGAGAGACAAAGCAGGTGACCTTCCCGGTAACTCGAAGAGATCTCAGTATATGGGACGTGGTATCCCAACAGTGGAGGCTCCAGACAGCCAATTACACTCTTTTTGTGGGAGCTAGTAGTAGGATCCTACATTTGAACGGGACTCTTGAGATTGTCTAGTCTTCACGTTCGCATTGAATAGCCTTGCAATCCATTCTTATTTCTACCCAGATGAGCTACGGTACTTTTGTTTATACGGAACGTAGAGTAGTCAGTATTCTTCAATGCTTAAGTAACGACATTCTTATTCCTTGCTTCTTCTTACCCTTCGTCAGAGTATAGTATTCTAAATTAAGCTTACCTACTTGTCTCTATGGCTGATATTAAATTCCGACATATGTTTCGAGAGTTTGATACATATAGCTCATTTCTGCTCCTCCACTCTCTAGTGTAGCTTGATCGGGCAGAGCAAGGATTGTTTTCTCGGCTCGAGCCTGCTGGATTTGATTATCATTGACTCTATCGAGGTCTCTTACGTACTACTATCTTCCTCAGGTAGTGATCGGCGCACTGCACTCCCCTTAGCATCTAGGAAAAAGAAAAGGAAGCTCAGCTGCGACATTCGGACAGTCACCACCCAGCCAATAACAGGGTTGCTATGGAGTACTCCATATGTAACGAAGGAAGATGAATTGAGGAACTGTGGACCCTGAGGAGTGTCGGAAAAGGGCATCACCTTTCGGGTGGCTGGCTGTGGAGCTGAGAATGTGGATATTGCTAGCAGGTATGCGGTCGGACCCAAGGGCCTTCTACCACTAAATTCTGACTATAGTAAAAAGAAGCAAATCCGAGATTTTTAGCATATATATCCAAAGTAACGACCATGAAATCACCATACGAGAAGTGAATCCAATGTTGATATTAAACATCACAAGGATTTATATCTTGGAACAATATGGACCTGGGGACTTGTTCAGTTTCGAACGTGTCCTATATATCGATAGTATCAAGTCCTAGTGCCCCAATGCCTTGGAGCATTCACTAATTGGTAAGCCCTGATACAGTTTTGGTTGTTGATACCCAACGTATAACGTATATGTTCTAGATAGGAAGCACATTTTAGATGTCGTGCTACCATGAAAACATTCGGCTTAGCTTACATTACCTAAGGTCCATGGACGTTTATCAATAGATGCTTCTAATTATCAGCCTTACTACTACTAAAAACGAACGACACTCGCTAGTTAAGGTAGCAGGACAAGAGAGCAACTCATAGGTCTAAACCTTCCGCGTCTATAGTTCACAGGAATCTTCCATTATGGGATCTGCAAACCAAATTCATCTCACTTCACTGTCAACAAACCGCTATGAGATGAAAGATCCTTGGACTCATGTTTACCTTCAGTCGATCATGAATATATAAAAAGTCACTCTCTGGTAGTTAAGCTGTGCTCTCCTCTTGTAGGGCTTTATAAAGCCTTCTGAACTGGGTGTCCTGCTGCAAGAGGGTAGTTGGGCTATCATATTCAACAACTTTGCCATGCTGAATAACCGCCACGCGGTCAAACCGATCAATAAACCGGAAGCGATGGCAAACAGCAATAATAGTTTGGTCGGCGAATTCCTTATCAAAGATGTCTTGCATGATCGTCTCTGTTTCCCAATCAACACTACAGTGGGAGGTCAGATGCAGGGACCAAAAGCGCCGGGACGACGTTCGAAGCGAAACCATCCTTACCTGCTAGTTGCTTCATCCATAAGCAAGATCGGCACCTTGCGCACAAGAGTCCGGGCAAGGGCCAGCAACTGCTTCTGACCAACCGACCAGTCCGAAGGGACAAACTCCGCGTCGAGCCCACCACTGATGCAAATGCGACCCCATAACCCGACTGTGGTCACGGCGGCCTGAATCTGATCATCGTTAGCATTCTGGTGTGGATCTAGATTGAATCTCGCAGTTCCAGGCAGGAAAAACGGATCTTGCGGGATAACATTGATATTAGGTCTAAGAATCTGTTGCTCCGTGGACAGGTCTCTGCCATCAACCAGCACACGGCCCTGTTTGATTTCAAGCATACTGAGGAGGGCCATAATCAATGATGTCTTTCCACTCCCGGATGGTCCGACGACGGCGACCTTTTGCCCCGGTTTGATGGACAGTGTAATATCCTTCAGAATGGGCGCTTCGTTGAAGCTTCGCATAAAAGTATTAGCTGTGGGGGGCCTACTGGAAAAGAGGAATATGTGCCACGAACCTATGTCCAGCCGACACATTGTCGAAATCGATTGCGCCGTAGCACGCCACATCAGGAAGTCTGTGAGCATCCGAAGTAAAATCCCGGTTGTCCGACGGCGTGTCTTTTGCAAAGCTTCGAACACGAGATACAGCACCAATAGATATTTCCATCATAGTCCACATCTTGATCGTTCGAGTAATGGTCTGGTTAAAGGTGAGGAGCAGGTTCAACGCAACACCAATCGACGCAGCGCTGAAGCTGCCCTTTAACGATGTCACTACGGCAGCCAGCACAACCGCGATGCCGCCTACTACCAGGTCAAGGACGAGAGTGAGCCACTGCTGCACGCAGAAAAGCATATATACCGGCTTCTGAGAACTGTTGAGTCGAAGGTGGCTTTCCTGTTGGAAGTGCGGCTCCCAGCCGAATGCACGGATTGTCATAATACCCTGGATGGTCTCCAGGAAATGTGAATATAGTGGCGCCTTCGCCTCAATGTCTAGAAGACGAATCTGACGAGAGGTCCGCAGGTAATATAACTGAACGCAGAATAGCACCAAGGCCAGCAGTGGAATGGAACTCGCCAGATAGCGTCCGAGGACGCAGAGCACAATCAACCTAAGCACACATGATGAGACGCCTGATCCGATGTCAGCCGCTGCCATATACGAACAACCCTAAGGATTAGACGAATTACCTTCCGCAAAATTCACAGCATAGATTGGAAGCATCATGTCAATGAGTTCCATATCTTGACCGAACCTTCAGTGGGCAAATGTTAGTCTAGAAAACGTGGAACTGCAATGTTTAAAGCATACCGATTCGTGGTTGAACCTGTATCTGTGGTCTGAAAGAAGCCAAAAGGCGCACTGATAGAGACAGTCAGTTAGCCTTGGATCTGATGAAAATGAGCCGCGTTAAATACAGACCTGAGGGCAGCTTTGAGCAGATCAGAGTGCAATTTTAAGGAGGTTGAGGACAACATTGGCACGAATATTATCCTTGGTCCGCGTTAGTCAATACCTAGAAGCAACACATCCGTGAATGAGATGGCTTACCAGCATGCTGAAATAAGGCTCACGGCCGACACGACGAACAACAAACCATAGATTCCGACGTACATTCCTAATCGACTATTAGGCTTTCGTTCATTCTCTTCAACCCACCACTGTAGCCACAATGCTAGAATAAACCATCAGTATGGCAATCAAAAGAGGCCAATGTTGACATTCACATACTACTGAAGACGGACGAGAATGTGTATAGGATTGTGAAGATCGTGAATATGAAAAGGGAGAAGAATCCTGCATGGTGGAAGTAATATAGATAGACGGACCAGGTGCCACGCTGCCGCGACCGATCCAAGTCCTCTATGTCCGTGCTTGTCGTTGAAATTGAGTCGCTTCGTTCCACAGCCTCAGGAATTTTTGTATCATCAGTTGTTAATGTTATCGCAGCATCACTTGGTATTTCTAGCTTCATGGCCAGTTCCGGTAATCGATTAAGGATATCTTGGTACGTTCCTTGTTCAACAACCCGCCCGTTATCGAGAACGATGATTACATCGGCATGTACAAGGAGGTGGTCTAGAAGTATTAGCCTTGTCATAGATCCAATAGATTACAGAGAGCTCCTTACAGGTGTTGGTAGCTAAGACTACCGAGATCCCTTGAGTCTTAAAGTAGCTCTCGGCGCCAAAAAGACGCTGGGATATGAGAGCTATCGCCTTTGAATCCAATCCGCTGAACGAGTCATCCAAAATAATGACCTTGGGCCTAGAATAGATTGCACGAGCCAATGCCTACATGGAAACCGTTGTCAGCTTTTGAAGTCCAATTGTGTGTTGGTCCATACAATTCTTTGCTTTTGACCACCGCTGAGCGAGATACCGTTACTTCCAGCCATATGTGAGTCGCCTTGAGGCATTTTCTGCAGGTCCATTTCTAAACCGCACGCCCAACAAGTAAACTTGTACCACTTCTCATCAAAGTCGTAAGGCCCAACGATATTCTGTCGGATGGTTTGGTTTTGGATCCATGGGACTTGGGAGCAGTATGCCACCCGCGACAGAGAAGCCACAGCGGAGCCACTTTTCACAGTGCTGGCCCCCAAGATGCTCTCGATAAGTGTCGACTTGCCACACCCAACAGGTCCAATGATCATGGTGACTCCTCGGCGAATATTGAGGGTTAACCGATCGAAGACCGCTTCTGTATCGGGTGACTTCAAGATAATGGCATCTTGGAATGACGCCAAGATGTCCTCAGGTAATGTACCTCTCGGTTGTGGAGATGATTTCAGCTCGACCTCGGAAAGCCCAATGACAGATTCGGGGGAAGATGAGCGTTCGGATGGTACGGGATCTACCAGGAGATACTCTTCAATACGGTCAAAGCACGCAACAGCTTGGTAAAGGGAAGGCATGGCCTGGCAAAAGACGAGGAGTGGACTGGTAAGAAGGGATATCAAAGCTAGGGAGGTAAAGGCCTGCGCAGACAGTAAAGTTGTGTCATGTTTGGCCACGGATATTATGGCGTAGATGGCAAAGGTCGCAAAGGGAGAAAAATCGGTCGGGAGATTGGCTAGCACAAGGTTAGCTACAGGTCTACCCATAGATTTGTTGCGCTGGTATTCAACTTACATATAACAACCTGCCATATCAGGAGTTTCCGAAATCGTACCGATGTCTTTACTTCCAATTTGCGTAATCTGGATATGATATGGAATAGGAGATCGGTAAGCCCAAGCATATGCACGCCTTTGATATCATTGAGCGTCCCAGAGACAACCGACAATCGTTTCTGCACGCGGTCAATCCATTGTGTTTGGGCTTGTCCAGATCGAGCTGAGACCGGTATCATGGCGAAAATCGAAGTGAGTGCGATGATCAAAGGAGCTAGGCAGGCGATCCACACCTGGCGCTTCAATAGCCAGATCGCAACCACGGCCTCAAGGATAGAAGCCCACGCTTCATGAAGCGATCTCAGGCTGTTTACAATCCGCTCCACATCTGTGCCCATTAAGGTAATGGCGGCCGTGTCTGTCAGGTCCTCCGGCCTTAATCCAAGCGTCTGGTCATATATAGTCGATATAAGGCCTGCTCGAGTCATCGTAATGAACCGATAGGTTTGCCGCCAGTATACCGCCGTTGATACCTGTTTACTGATCAGTCGAAGATGCCGATACAATCGAGGCTAGCCTAACTTACCGCGTATCCTGTATACACCAAGACAAATGCACCTACAAGTGCTTGTCCAAACTTCTGGGACTCCGGGCTTGGCGACTGATTGATATAGTCTACAGTTGCCGTAATGAGGAAGGGCTGAGAGAAAGTGAAGGCCGACAAAGCTAAGCGCGGCACGATGGCTGACAGACAGCTGAACCGATAGGCAGTAAACGTCGCCCTGAGTAACCGATGTTTGCCTCTCGAGCTTTCCCAAGCCTTCCGAAGCTTATCCCCAGTCATTTGTGCTCGCAGATCATTATCTACCTCAGGGATGTCCGCTATACTCAGGACCTGTGAGAATCCTACCCGGAAAAATGATAGCAGCCAGATGAACAGGCTTCGGGTCCAGAAACCACAAATCTGTTCCTTTGTCGGACGGTCAGATTCCAGACGCAAGACCCTACTCTTCTGCACCGATTCCACACATAGGCATGCGATCGTAATAACAAATATCGCCGTCCATATCCCAGTGACAGTGTTAGTAGGGCTTATGAGCCATAAAGAACGTAATGGGGCTATGGCGCAAATGACGGTCATTGACAAATAGAGCACAAGAATATCCGAGGGTCGAACGGAACGCTGGTCTTCCAGAAATGAAGCACATGCCGCCATAAAGGTTGCCACGACATTCAAGACTCCAGCCGCTAGTGATGCATTGCTGTGAATCGCGGGTGCTTTCAGTCGAAGAGCGACAAAGAGAATCTGAAGAACGAACAGTATTGCAAGCAGGGACAGTTTACATATCGCCAACCGATAAGAGTTGACTTTCACGGATGTCCGGTGCAGCCATCGCAGCCGAAACGGAAGCAGGATGAGAAGCACGGCCGCTGGAAGGGAGATAAAGAAGATATCTTCGAACAGTAGAGTGAAGTCGAAAGAGCGGCAGTTCAGGTTGACGCGAGGGCCAAGTCCGTTGTCATCCACGCAGACCTCCATGGCTCTCGGAGGGAGGAGAACCGCACAACGAGGACAGATCCTTGAACACGAGGGAAGGTAAGCATCAGATAAAAAGCAACTACGATGGGTAAGCTCTAGGTTACATCGAAACTAGGGAAGTAGACTAAAAACTAGGGCTTGTGTTGGGTGCCTTATTGTCGGCCAATCAATGCAGGCGGCTCCCGCAGTACCAATAAATTGCCTGCCTCCGAGACCTATATCAGATTAAACTATCAATATCCATGATATAAACGAATAAGCGTGCTTCTCGTTGTTATCATGCGTTCGGATCTCCGACACGTCACGTCATACCAGTAAGTGGATTGCTATACCAACATATTATTCCTAAAAAGACGGTGTCTTAGAGAGAGATGACAAGCTTCGTAGCAGAAACACCATCCTTCAACTTATCCAGCCCTTTCTGTACTGATTCAAGGCCATGACCGACAACTTCTGCGCGAGGTGCGGGCTTGAATGTATCAGCTTGCAGGGCCGAGGGGAGATACTCTTCGAAGACCCTCGGACCAATATCACTATCTATACTGAAAATGAACTTCGACTCCACACCATCTGGCAATACTCCTGAAAAATGGTTGGCCAACGAAACGAATTTCTTCCCGTTAATACGAGAAACAATCCTGCCGCAAGGATCCGCAGCCGTCGGTCCGATCGCCAACGCGCCAGTTGAGGTCTTACCCTTGAACGCAGCGACAATTTCATCTTCAACAGTAGATCTATGATAATCGAATGCTTGGCTGGCACCAAGGGATTTCACATAGTCAAAGTTTTTGGGAGAGGCTGTAGTGAATACCTCGTAGCCAGCAGCCACCGCCAGCTGAATGGCATTGCTACCCACGCTGGAGGAACCGCTCCAGATAAGCACTGTCTCTCCTGTGTGTTCCGAAGAGGGTTCGGTCGGGAACTGCAGAGCCAGATGATCCTCTTGAAAGAGACCACATGATGCGGTATAGATGCCCAACGGGATCACAGCAGCTTCCTCGAACGGTACGTTAGTAGGGATGTGTGTAGTAAGCTTAGCGGACAACACGACGTAGATTTGGAAGGCACCTTCGGCCGGATTATTCGACATAAGGCCACGGGCTAGGCTTAGGACGCGGTCTCCAGGCTTGAACCTTGATGAGGCCGCCTGACCAACCTCAACAACTTCGCCAGCAACGTCAGCTCCAAGAACGGAAGGGTATGTAGTCCACGAAAAAAGTACTGCTCCCATGGCCTGACGGGCCCAATCGACAATATTCAGGCCGATGGCATAGTTACGGATAACGAGCTCATCGTCGCCTGGGGTCGGGTATGGTGCATCCTTGACCTCAAGAGGGTAAGCCATTTCAGCGGTTATCCACGCAGCGCTATTTGGAACGGACATCTTGCTGAGTGAGCGGAAGAGCTCTTAAAACATGAAATCAGCGGCAATATTCTGAATGGGGTTTGTAGAAAGACATTTAGCGATATTAGACTGAAGCTGGGTGAGAAAGGTAAACAGAAGTTCTCTGCCTTTATATCATTCAAGAGCTCACGTAATATTAGTCCAACTAACCGATTGTCGACATTCATATTATTCTACCTTACTTATCGTCCTAACTGAAGCATTTTGAAGCAGAGGAAAGTGATAGTTGGTACGGATATAGGCCGGAGACGACGGAGTTAAGCTACTGAGAAGAATGAACGGAGTTTGGAGGTAAGGGCAACGAGGGAAGTAACCTTAGGGTATCCCTCGATCGATACCTTAAGTTGGAGTCGAGATACATCAAGGCTAGCGCCTGCTTAGCCACAATACAGATGTTCATCCTGGACGATATCAGTTACGCTGCATCATGAATCGACCTGGTCTGCAGACATGCCTTGAATGTTTACCAGAGATCTACGGTGACAAAGAAAGCTCATCTTTCCTCAGCTTTTATGTTTGCTATTACAACTTCATTCAGCCTTGGCAGAAATATAGCTAGTAGTACTAAAATGTATGGCGAGCCTCAAGGCAGTGGAAAATGGAGAAATGATTTATGATATCATGATAATCATTTCTTAGGTCTTAGGGCTATACTGTTCCATCAGCAAATGTAAAATGCCCGGATGGTCTAGTGGTATGATTCTCCCTTGTGAGTATTATCCCATTCAGAGTTACCCATTCAAATAATACAATACTAATTGTATACTAGCGGGCTGGCTTTACACAGCACTATCTGGGAGAGGTCCCGCGTTCGAATCGCGGTTCGGGCCTTGACATATCTTTTTTTGCACCTTCTTGGTGCACCAATGTCACGTGGCCTAGGTATTTGATGCTTTATCGAGTTAATCTGGCCCTGAGAAGGTCAAATTATAACCACTATAACTGCTTTTTGCTCAGTTGATGCCTATAGAAGCTTATAAAGATCGCATCTGTGTGTGTAGAGGTTCTTTGTTGACTTCACTTTGCTTTTGTGAGGGTACCTACTATAGATATATATCTTCCATAAAGCATACATTTATCCCCTTGATGCTTTACCATGATTTATCAGTACACACCACAAGGCAAACTGTATAACTGTCTCAATTAGAATACATTGTAACCAAAGTGTTCCTTTCTAATTTGGGTTGGACTTTTTTTCCCCGCTGGGCACTCCTATCTCCTATTATCCTACTTATTACCCCCCACAGTGTTGTTGAGCACCACAGCATTGCTATTTGAAAATAGGCACCATCGCCTGTAGGCATTATTAACGGTCAGGTGTCAGTACTGTTTATGGTGTATATACTACCCAGGCCGAAAATCAGTTGGCTTGGTAAGGATACACAAGAGAATAGGAATAGAGTTAGGTATATGGCATCAACAGATAGTAGAACGAAGTGTGACGGTGTGCCTGCAGGCACACACCTACCTGCCTGCCTGAATTCTGAACATGCTTATATATGTGAGTGCAGGACAAAGCCTTCAGCTTGTATCCTAGTCTTTTGCTGATAACGCAGCGGTTAGGCTTCTGCATGCGCCCAGAGGTCACACCATGACAGAAAGCACTGAAGACTGATCCTTGTCCTTCCTTACTAGAATCAACAAAATCTTCTACTCCTGGAGCTACCGTCACTGTATTATAGAAACCATTTATGAAAACAGAACCTTTAAATCAGGTGATCGTTTGTCCTTTCGTTTTGTTGCAGGACTAAACTACCTAAACTCCTACGCTGGTTATATATCTTCCAAACCAAGCTCCTTATGTAATCTGCCCGGATGGTCTAGTGGTATGATTCTCCCTTGTGAGTATTATCCCATTCAGAGTTACCCATCCATATAATACGATACTAATTGTATAATAGCGGGCTGGCTATTACAGCATTATCTGGGAGAGGTCCCGCGTTCGAATCGCGGTTCGGGCCTTCAACATCTTTTTTATTCTTCAAATCCTTGATTTACTTTGTTTCTCCACATACAGAGAGAACACATACATTCTTATCCCCAACGCTACCAGGCTGGTATCATCTTCCTACAACTTTTTTAAGTTACAGCAGTTAGCATCTATTTACCCGCGCCCTACATGCATGCGTACTCGTTATTTCAGCCTCATTTAAATAGCATTGTATAACTATGTATAGGTATTGAATACGCCTATGAAATTACATAGTATCATAGGTAGCTGAACTTATGCTTGGTGAATAGGCGGCGGCCTGCGGAATCATGTAGATCATTGAATGCTATTTTAATCAGGCTGATTATGAAAGGCCTAGCACTAAAGCACCAAATTTCGCGTAAATATTGCATATAAATTAGTACACAAAGCCTCCAGGGAAACAAGTGACAGAGTTAGCTATATATATCTCATATACCGAGCTTGGGAATTTGTCAACAGTGCCTAGACTGAAAGCCTCCTTAATCTTCCACAACTCAGGACACGTTTCTCCGATGTAAAGAGTCTTGGCGATGTCTTCCCCCGCATAGACCATGAATTCTTCACGTCGGATCTCCACATCACCGGAAGATTCAATATCCCCGTCGGAGTAAAATAGGGATCTTTCCGGTGGGGAAGCCTCGATAATCGAGCCGGATGAAACGGTCTGTTGCGATAGGTTATGGCCAGTGGAGATTTGGGTCAGCTATAGTATGCGCTGGGGTGCATAAATACACAGTCCATGACAGCGATGGAGGTTCATTGTGAGCGAGGGGCTTCGTACACTTCATACAAGTAAGTAACAATGTCGTTCAGACTGTTGCAAGCTCTACTGGGGCTATGGGCAATCTTTCCTATAGCCTCCGCATGGACGAACCCAATTCGCAATCCCGGTGGTAGTGACCCCTTCATGGTGTATACCGGAGGTTACTACTACCTCCTAACGACGACCTGGAATGATGTTCAAGTCAGTCGGGCAGCCAGTGTGGAAGGTCTCAAGACCGCTACGAAGAAGGTGGTCTACACCACAACTGAAGAATCCCACTGCTGCAATGTGTGGGCACCTGAGGTTCACTACCTGGGCAACAAGTGGTATATTTACTACACTGCTGGCACCAGTGCGAATTTGGATGGTCAGCGCATGCATGTGTTGGAAGGTAGGCAAATGGTCTGACAGCTCCCGATGTGCTATAAAGAACTAACAGTATATAGGTGGTGCAACTCCCTGGGATGAATACACCTACGCAGGACAACTGACCAATGAATGGGCCATTGACGGGTCTGTCCTCCGCTTCAACGACTACGGCAACTTCCTCATGTACTCGTGCTTCCACGGCGTGCAGTATCAATCCATCTGCCTGCAACAGCTGGGATCGGACTATACCTCGCTAACAGGTGATATCTACATTATCTCCGAGCCTACTGAGGATTTTGAAAGGCACGGCACGCCCGTCAACGAGGGCCCAGCGGCACTGTACCTCAACGGAAAGACACATATTGCCTACTCGGCTTCTTACTGCTGGACATCCTATTATTGCGTGGGGCTCCTTACATGGGACGGCACCACCAACCCGACAAGCAAGAGCGCCTGGAGCAAGCACGACGGATGCCTTTTGTCCTCGGGCAACGGAAACTATGGAACGGGCCATAACTCCTTCTTCCAAAGTCCTGATGCTTCGCAAACGTGGATCGCCTATCATGCGACCACCAATAGCGGAGGTGCTTGTGATGATAGCCGTTATACAATGGTGCAGGAGATCACCTCGGGCGCCAATGGCTTCCCGGATCTCGGAAAGGCAGTAGCTTGGACCGTTGAACTCGGTGAGCCAAGCTCTTGATGTATATAACGGCGGCAATGTGTACCCTCCGATCATACGGACATTAGGGTCCTCCAAAACATTCTGAGTACTGTCGAAACGTAGACAGGTGACAAAATATCATGGAATAGAGATTTATTCCATGCACATAACTCTCCTTGGTGCGTAGGTTATCATACCCTTTTCTTTGTTTTCAACGCATGAAAGACTATTCAAGGAGCTCTCTGCTACTGCATGTTGATTGATCATGCTCCATGATCCTGGAAAGGGGCTAGTAGGGCTACTTGTCTCGCATTCTGGCGCCAAAGAGTCTAAGTAGACCGATAATTGGCCTTGAGGCCTCCGCCCGTCGATCGCGTTGGCGAATATAATAGATTTCAGAACGAGCTACGTGAAATTGCTCGCTTGGAGATCTTTCCAAACCAGCTCGTTCAAGTAGGCGGACGGTGTGATTGTCATACTGGGCTGTAACATCATTCCATCGATGCGTAAAAAACAATCTGTGGCTCGAATTTAGGTGGTTCTGATCATAAGCCAGAAATCTTTGTAGAAGCAGTTGCGATATGTCTTGAGCAACGTTCCACTTGTCCGTCACGACCTTTGACTCAAAATCAGTACGAGGAGAGGGACGACAGGACCACATGAGGAATACCGAAAACGTGCCCCGCGGAAAATGCGGGGGTGATATATCGACGGGAGCGCCTTCACATTTAATAGCCCCTCGTATCCCATACGGGCATATTTCAAATGGAACTGTTGGGCGCAAGGTGACCTGCTAGAGGTCTTATAATTAGGTAGTTCCGGTCCCGGGTGCTGGGACGGTCTCTACTTATAAGACTCTCGCAGCATCGGCGTGGGGGTTATGCTCTCCAGGAGGAACGATATGGCTTATCGTGATGTCTCGAAGCTGCCCTCGCACTGCGCTACTTCATTTAGCCGCAGGAAACGTGGTGGAAGGTGATTCGTCTGTAATTGAAGCGCTTGCTACTGAAATCCGCTAGATATTCTCTCGAATGGTCCCAGGAGCTCCGTCGCAAGATATTCAGATTCTGGTGAGATGTCACCAACTATACACGACGCAGGAATGGTGACGTTCAACCAACCTTCGTCCCTATCCGGGGGCAAATACTCGGAGCCGATGATGTTGTGCGCTGGAACTTCATGGGTTTGACGTAGATTTAATGAGCAGAATTGTTCGAGTGTCCACCTTTTTTGGTGGTTGCAGGAGGTACACAAGAGACTCCATTGGAGGTGATATTGCTGGGGGGGGGGGAGGTGAAAACAGAAAATGGGGGAAAAAAAGGTAAAAAGATTGACCGACGCAGGATTCGAACCTGCAATCTCTTGATCCGTAGTCAAGCGCCTTACCATTGGGCCAGCCGGCCAATTGTTGGAAAACGTCTGCCCTATCTGTATTTATAAGCCAAAGAAAGAAAAAATCTATGACTTTTCTGTGTCAAGAACACTGGACCAATGTCAGATGAAGGGAATAGTTGCTTGAAAAATTTGCATAGTGTTTGAACCCGGTGAGCTGGTTCAAAAGCTGTTCTCTATGTTGTTTTTTATGTTAGCACTAGGAGAATATAGTTGTTGCTATCACTTCCTTCATATTATAAAGCACAGACTCAACCTTCTTACGGTGGCTTTTCTTTTTCATTCTTGCCTATCCATACAGTAGTAGAAAAATTCATATCCTATATGTGGTCCTAGATAAATTGATATTCGTAGATTCCCAATATCACTATGTTTGTCGCCTCACACCTAAAGCGGTTGGAAGTATCTACACGAGCTTTTGGTGAATTTCAAATTCAAAATAGCGCTAATATTGGCAACCAGAGCTTGGGATATATACAAACCTAGCGACATGAGTAAACGCCCCCTAGTTGAATTTCCCACCATCACCATGTCCCACAGTCGTGAGGATAATCGTACCGATTCTCAAGCTTGTTATCCTTGCGGTCGAGGTATTCCATCCACTTATTATCCACAAGCTCACGCAGATCTAGGCGATTCCCATGAGCCTGGTCTTGATCAACGGAAAGTGCATTCAGCGTTAGATATCCAGACACATTCTCCTTGTAACCCTCCGGGTCAATTCGCCATACGGTGATTGTTTTCGTCGTTTCCTTCGAGCCAGTCAGTTCTGACTGGCCCTTATAGGCCGCCGAGATGCTGTCGATGCCGATCTGGTCTTTCTTCCAGTGAGCAGCCATTGCGAAACATCGCACGCCGCAGGTCGGGCAGAACAGCCAGCTGACCAGACCTTTCCCGCACTGATAATTAGCCATACGGTCCCAATCCAGCGGGGAAAGCAAGAAGAATTGATTTGGGGCGTCGGGAAGTCGCAGATGGAAAAGACCCATTTTGTGACACGTCGAGCAATTGCATTTGTAAAATCGGGCGCGGGAACCCGTTGGCACATCCGGTCCGAGGGCTACTGCTGGGGGCCTGGGAATAATGGCGATGTACTTGATAAGTCCACAGTGGCAGGAGCCACGGTAGGGGAGGCTGGATTGTTGGTTGTCGGGAGTCGTCATTTTGGCGATAATGGCGTGTGTTCTGTGTTGTGAGATAAGTTGTTTTTGCGAAAGTATTCCAAGTTTCAATATATTGGGCGGAGTATGCGGGCTAGACTATGATAAGCACTAATATGAGTCATTTCTCGTATGCATTGAGCCTGCTGCGTATAAGCGTTTAAAGATAAGATCCTTTCGGTTGGTTCCCTGCTAGGCTACATCTTCGTGTTTCTGATTGGATTGCTATGGTTACATCGGCACTAATGGCTGGAACTAGCTCACAGTAGTCTATAGCCTTGATGATAGTAGGATCTATATAGACAATAGAAATAATCCCATACCAAGGGCATCTACTCAAACAACCGATCGAGGAATGCCCCTGGCTTTCCTCGTTTCCGCGCATACTCTAGCTCCCCATACTCATCAATCTCTCGTCTAATTCCCCCTAGCTGAAGATCCGCCCTGCCGATCCCCACATATTGTGTGCGCCGAAACACCTTCCAGAACACGAAAGTAAGTGCGGAAAAGGCAATCAACACATAATTCAAAAGGGTCGTTGTCAAGTCCCAGCTCCCGGAAAGAAAAAGGTTATATCCCAGGATCAGAGTCATTACGCCCGTTTCGCAAAGAGCGTACCACGCCGTATAAGGTTGAAAGTGGCCCTGTTAGAGGAGCGTTTCGCGCGAAATGCCTTGACACTGGCGAGGCGTGGAAATGGAGATAGGTAATGCATGTTCCGAAGTAGTTGAGTAAATACGATTTTGTAATGCAACTGACTAGCCAATTGAGGACCGTCGCTGAACAGTGGCTGATTGTAGGAAGCCCAAGAAAGAGAATGCCACCGCGACTGCTACCGCATTATATGGCAATCCTGCGCGGTTAGCCCTGGATAACCATTTCGGTGCCTTTCGTTCCAACGACATGCCATACAGTGTCCGCGAGGCGGAAAATCAACGTTGTTCCCAGCGGATAGGACAGATGCCATGATCAGTGCATTGGCAATGTCTGGTAGAACCTGAATACCGAAGTGATTCATAGAGATCACATACGGAGATCTGGATGGTGGCTATTAAGTATATGTTCGTAATCGAGACTAGCCAGTAACACTACTCACGCGGCACCGGTTCCACTGCCCTTTGCTGTACCATCCAGCATGGCAGCCCAAGTGGGATCATTATATGGTACCACAATTCCTATGCAAAGTGCTCCAAGATAGAAGAAAAGTATGAGACGCCAGCCGAATGAGGCGAATGCTTTCCGCATGACCTTCCGGCTTCAGCAGCCGTCATGGATATAAACGCCGGCCCTTCCATTCTGTTCGTCTCAGTATGCTTCCTGGGAGTGGATGATATAAAACACATAGAGGCGGATTGATCGTCTTACGTGAATGACCCTTGGATCATGCAGCTCGATACCCCAAGAAAGCCACTGGTGTCCCCAGGCACCAGATATGAGACAAACGCTCCCTGCACGATGGAAAGAAACTCGGTAATTAGCCTGACCTAGGCAGTCGCCATCAATTGGGCAAGGGTATACAAACAGGGTCCTTCCAGTACCGAGATTTTATCGCATCATAGTCGGGACTGCCACCAACCACCGTGACGAATGTGTAGAGAATCAGGCCCACCATTAGGAATATCTTGAAGAATGATAAGTAAAACTCGGGCCCTCCGAAGTAACGCACTGTGAGGACGTTCAAGCTTCTAGATGCCGTTATGGGCATCATTCCAGCGTCAAGACATTGGGAAGACTTATCCATAGATGACCATGACAATCACAACAACTGCTACGACGGGCACTTTGTCCGTGCAGTAGGTGAGCAATATATTGATGGCGACAACCTCGTAAGGAATATTTAGCGCTGCATATATCGTATCGACACAGCTAAGGTGATTAGTGCGCATGACTACATGTCAGGCATCGAACTAACCCATCGTCAAGAAGAAATTCCGACCCATTGCAAAACTCAAAGCATCTTCTACCCAGTGCCTAGCTAGTCGCACAAGCGGCGATGGGATGGGCATATAGCAGACCATCTCTGCTGAATGACATACCCCGCATTAGCCACAGCCTAAAGTAGTCAACACTGACACGCTGGTCCTGTCATCCACAGATCAAGGCTGGATAGGTTCCCAGTCCTGACTCACTAAAACACTCATTGACAGCCATAACGATTGTACCGTATGCTAGGAATCCAAGGAAGAGACCCGCTGGACCACCTTTCGGCAGTGCTGCACCCATCTGTACGAACAATGCTGATGCGCGAGGTTAAATCGAGACGAAGATTCACAGCTCTCGATTCAACGTACATGTACCGATAGCTCCTCCTACCGCAAAGAGCTCAACATTACGCCCCCTGAGCTTCCGGTGAAGCTTTTGGGACTCAGTAAAAGATATGTCGCCCTCGCCCACGTCATGATGCCCGTCTCTATTGTGTAGATCGGAATGTAATCCCTTAGGAGTATCGGTACATACAGAAGATACAATGTTGATGCTTCTCCGGCAAAGGGAATCATAGACACTAGACCTTAGTTGTTTGAAAGAAGGTATTCTTTGATCTGGTTGTTGAATCTATCTTTGGCCATAGGCGGGGGACGTTGATATCACTGTTATCTTCCCTTTATATCTTCATCTTATTATTCTACATCTTTGATCAGCGAGCGAGGGGGTAATCTGCACCTCATCACGTCACACCCGAGGCTGTCTGAAGTAGTCCTACGCCCTTATGCGTTACACGAGCCTGCCATGTTGTGAGGATAACAAGTATTACCCACTTAGCGCTGCAGAGTCGGACTTATCATACTTAGTCAAGACACGCTGAGATTTTCAGAGATCCAGGCATCAGGGACTGTGCGACGTCGACTCGATACTAGGATTAGCTAAATACACTGTGCTGAAGACTTGGATGCAACAGATGTTTTCTCGTGATATGGGTGTTAATCTGTTCTGAACGTTTACGATTTACTTAGGGTTGCGAAAATGCTATCAGTTCGTGTGCCCCAGGGCTTGCTACAAAGCTTGAATCGATCCTTTATTGATTACAAGGTCAAGTAGGCTATTGGTTCACCTTCACTCATGCAATCATTAATTCAATTGCTCATAGACCATTATTACGCGTTTGTACAATTTGTACAAGGAAAGCAAGTAACGCTAGACATGTTCACCATTGTCACTTCACAACTTCCGGTATCTCTGCGGTACCAAGCATTGAAAAAAGATCAACGAAAGATTACCTGGTCTTCTTCTCCTCCGCCCCATCTCCGTTTTCACTGCTGCCGGATCCGTCTACCAATACAGCATCCGCATCCGAGTCGTATTGCGCTCGGATACGCTCTCGGCCTCGTTCCTTCATCGAGTCCCGGATTCTTCGGTTGACTTCGCCGAGATCGTCCTTCGATCCGATCGTCAGAGGTTTAAGTAAAGTCTCCTGAAGATGGAAGCCACCGCTCCGGGATCGACTGCGGCTGCCTCGGCTTTTGCTCGCGTTTCGACTTTCGGGTTCACTGGGTGGAATGCTCTTCAATCGAGACTGGTATGAATCGTCATGAGGATAGCTATGGGGAACAAGCTTCTCATGTTCAAAATCTGGGAAAATCTCGGGCGCAAAGGTGTCGATCGTGTCCACCACCCGTGCCGACAATGCCTGGCGTTCCTCGCGTAGCTTTGCCAGCGAGTTGGCTGAGGCGGGATTTAAGGCAACCAGAAGGGGAGGGAGTGACTTGAGCACGTCCATGCCGACCTCGCCGATCCGCAAACCAGCAAAAGTGACGGAAATCATCAGTCCGAAGAAGAAAATTGCGAAGAGCCATAGCGGAATACTGTCGGAGATGTAAGTCCTGGGGTTCGTCCACCACGGTGATGCGGCACAATAATGCCCATCATGGCGACAGTAATGTAACCACGTCGTCACGACGACGGTGTACCAAGTGTACAAGGCCGGCGCCAGGCCCATCGCGACCAGGATTTTCCAGGTTCCAACAACGTCACGGCCCTCAAGCTTGACTACAGAGCCTGCGAGAGCTTTCCGCTGTTTTTTAAGCGAGATCACTTTAGCGGTTACAAAGACGGGCCAGAAGAGAGCAACAGATGGCAGGGTTCCGATGGCTAAGGTGAGAAGTTCACCAATCCGGTAAAGCAAGGTGCCCAATACCATCCACCATGGCCGGTGCTTAACGTCGCCCCATTCAACCTGGTGGTCTTGAATCCCTAATGAGTGAAGGCGTCGGTTGTAATCTGATATAGCCTTTTTCAATTGAAGGACCTTGGGCTCGTCTTTGAATTGAGTGTAACCTTTGAGAAGCCGTCGGTTCACTTCAATGACAATTGGTAAGGGGAGCTTCATCCGGAGGGGTCGATACAGCCTTCGTGTGGCTTGAATGAGCATCAGTGTCTCATGGTCTGGCGCTTGTTGGGTCACTGCAGCGAGTGCCTCTTGAATCGTCTCTAGCAAGGATCCCACCGCGTTCCGCTTCGAGCTCCCGCCGGCCTTGAACGCTTCGACCTGGTCCGGATGTACGTGAACGGGGTTACCAAATTCCACAACTGCGCGGGAGCGGAATTTATTCGGATGGAAGTAATTCATGCCACAGGGAATAATGGACAGACCACAATTGGGATCCCGAGCCAGAGCTCCCAGGGCGATGATGGCGACACCGGCCTTTAATGGAAGCAGACTGGGTCGATCATGGCTTCCACCCTCGGGAAAGATTCCAATACAGCCACCTGCGATGAGTTCGTTATAAACGGCGTCAAACATCTGGCTTTGGTCGATATGCGGGGCAACCTTGAATTTAGTGCCCGTACGCAGCGCATCGTACAGTGGGTGATCCGGTTCGAATTGTTTGAAGGGCTTTCGCAGTCTCAATTCTTCCGGTCCAAGAATCTGCGCAATAGCCTGCTGCTCCGGACTAGTCTTTCCCACTCGTGGGAGGATGATCATACCGCCTTCCATGAAAAGACTACTGGTGAAATCGGTCCCTTTCCCACGAACTAGGGTTGGGTCCTTGTCCGGATCAGGTAAATAAATCTGACCCTCGGCCGGTTTGACGTTGTCCTGGGCTCTCACGACGGGAAGGGCTCCCATGCATCCGGCCATTGTGCCAATATATGGCTCGCGCATGGATTTTTCCGCGATTAAGAAAGAGCTCCGGCGAGTGGCCGCATGTTTCAGAATGCGCATCAAGAGGATCGAGTCAACAAATTGGTTGGCATGTGGAGCGGCAACAATGATCACCGGGCCGCGTCGGGGGATGCGCCAAGCGCCCCGGGAATAAACTTCCCGGAAGAAAATGTCCAGACATAATGTGAAGATCCAAATGCCCAGATCGTAGAGCCATGGGATCATAAATCTCCGCGCCATGACCGAGACTTGGTTCGCCCGCAGGACCGACAATTAGTGGTCGTACCGATGGTGGAACACTAGGTCTGGGCGGATTGACGTAGACCGCCCAAATGATGATCGTAATTTACAGTCAGAGTGCTGCTGTCGTGCGCGTGTGGCACTACGTTGGATGTGTCGCGAGTCAGTTGTTGATGTTGAACCAACAAAAACACGATTTCATTAAATCATGTTGTCGCGGAAGGGAAATTCTCCGAAAAGGCCGTTTTGCGGAAAGCTGACTCAGCAGAAGGTGCAAACCAGTCAAACTGGAGATATGTACGGTGTTCAAACTGCGTCCTGCAATGCCTGTTACATTCGCGGGCTCTGAGCCCGATATTGAAAGCAAGTCGTTAGGCGATAGAATTCATGAGTTCCACGGCATGCAGCTACTCCCTGGTGCTCATCTTCCGGAAGTCACCGTCATTTTCAAGGACTTCTTTGAAGAAAAATTGCGTATGCAGAATTTCAACCAGGGAAAACCTTTATCACGTCCACTGGACAAGGTTGGGTATCCCTGAAACTTCCGAAATTTGTCTCTGGCTATTTTATGGATGCTGGCCAAAGAGTTTATTTTAGTAAGCTTCTTGGAGAGATTAGTCCTAATCTTATCTAGACTTTCCTTGAGCTGGAGGATTGAAGTTGGTAAATTCTTTATGAGATTCCCGCGCCCTTTGCGCGTAAAGCTCACCAGGCCAGGGATGGCATCATTGAAGCTATTCAGAAATGGTTTGACACGGCCCCTGGAGATAGACCAGACGGGTCTTGGTGGATGAACACCATGGAAGCAGAGATGAAGTCATTAGCTTTTAGCTCTCATGAGATGGCCCCAACTGTGGTCCCTATTACATCGGGTACGATACATCTTTTTTTATCTATATAACCCTTTACGTTTGCCCTCATATTCAACTTGAAAGAAACATCCTCATTGGAGTATTAGGAGCAATACAAGTACTAGAAAAGCATGCTTTTGGTTCCTTGCCTTTCTCCTATATAACCCGAAGCTCATCGACGCTGTGCGTGAAGAAACCAGACCCGCGCTAGGGAGCGGCTCAGTTGATTTGGAGTATCTGAAGAACAAATGTCCTCAACTCAACGCTATATGGATGGAGACAGTACGCATGGCAACTTCAGCTGCCTCCTTAATGGTTATTATGAGTTCAATATCCATCATTCATATCGCACCTCCACCGTTGAGGCCAATTATCTGCGTCAGTTAAATCTACAAAAGGGTAAGTATTCCCTAACTTCTTAGTAAGTAGTTAGATACTGATTACTTTTTAGGAAAGCGCAAAAGAGCCTATTTTACAGTATCTAACCGGGATTCTACAGTACCTGGCTCTTCTAATCCTCAATCTTTTTCCTTTGAAAGAGTTATAGCTAGATTGCTCTCTCGAACACCCTCCCAGGCTGATGATAACCAGTAGGAAATTTCCCCCTATTTCAAGCAGTTAACAAATACTTATGAAGTGCTTAGATTAACTATCTCATCTCGGAGAGACCTTCGTCAAACTGTCTCGACCGATCTCTTAAGCTTAGAGCAGAGACGCCAGGAACTTGAAATAAAAAGACTTCAAGCTGAGATTAAGACGCAGAGAGAGAAGACATGTGAAAAGGCCTTACAGAATAAAGAGCAAGGGCTTGATCTTCTTGAACACCGCCGCGGTATACAAGATAGTGATTTTAAGTACTTACGAATTAATTTCAAAGCGCTTACTAGCCGTTTTATAACTACTTATACACACCACATCTACCACTAATCACTGCCCCCCCTCAACTACCAACCTTGGCTTCCATTGCTGATAATGCTAGTAAAACTACTTATAAATATCTTATCCTGTATCTAGCTAGTATAAAATGTTAAGCAATTAAGAAACGCTTTTTAAGTACTTGAAAGAATACAGTTTAAACATAGTATAATCAAAAATAAAGTAGTTGCTAAGCAGTTATGAAGTACTTACACTGTAGGGAGTTCTAACCTTATTAAACTTGTAATTGATTTATTTCTGTATTACAACTTGAGCTCTCAGTAAAAGGTTATGAAAGAGGTGGTGTGGAACGAAACCTATAGCTTGTGTGGGTAATGGCCTCGCTTGGAAGGCACGTGATCAAACCACTTACTAAGCAATTTTCGTCCCGCGCCATGCTAAAAAGAGGCGGGTTACAGCTGAGCGTGGTTCGAAATTAGCTTGTCGTGGTTCAAAAAATACGCTAATATTCTGCTACTGCCCTTGAACCATGACAAGGTTTTTCTGAGTATATACTCAGTATAGTTTAAATCTAATTTTTTGAATTATAATCATCTGGTTTAAAGAGATTACCTAATCAGAAGTCTTGATATTCTAAAATAAATTTTTAGTATATACAGAATTAAGATATAATAGAGATAAAATAGTGAATCTTTAATTATTTTTTAATTAGATAATTAATAATACTGTCTGGCTATATATAATCCTAAGAAATATAATTAAGGATATAATAGAGATTTATTTAATATACTCTATAATTATTATATTATAATTAGTTATCAGGATCTTAAGATATATATCTTTTTTAAATATATCTATAGAATAATTTTCTATATTTATTTATTCTCTTTTTTTTTCTATCTCTATTTTTTATAAGTATATATAGAGTATATCTCTCTTTTTTCTTTTTTATACTATTTTAGTATATATTAATTAAGATACTAAAATAGCTAACTAGTATAGCTATTTTTAAATATTATTCTTTATCTTAGCTTATACTCTATATATACTAAAGATAGTTTATACTATTATAGACTTTAATAATTTCCAGATCTAAGAGATTGCTAATTTCTTTACTATTAAGGAATAGCACTATAATTAGTATTTTCTCAGTATATTATATCCTGATATTAAGTATATATAGATCCTGTCTCTTATACTAATATAGACTAGACTTTTTTTAAAAATAAGTGATTTCTAAGTATTAGTATAATATATATTAATCTTATACCAGAAACTATTATCTCTAAAATTAATAGTCAGGCCTCTAATCCTGGAAAGAGATTCAGTAAAGTTAATAGAAAAGTATATATATTATACTAGTATATATAAAGTATATACTAACTATAAGTCTAGTTATAATATTATAGTTAATAGTAATTAGATATATAGCTATTACTTCTTAAGTATAATTATAGTATAGATTCAGATTCAGGACTGTATTTATACTATATATATTAATTATATCTAGTACTACTGCTATCTTTATTAGTTCTATTCTAGAGTCTATTAGTATTACTTTAGTTAATATAGAGTATATACTTATACTATACAGCTATTAATCTAAATATTACTAATATTAATAATACTGAACTAATAGCTGGTCAGAAATAAGTAATTATAGTATAGAAATTATATATAATATATACTAACTCTAAACTAGTATTCTTAAGTATTAGATTCTAAAATAGAATTAGAGAAGAGCTAGATATCTTTATAAGTCTAGATTAGTTTAAATATACTATTAAGTCTATATATTATATATACTAATAATATATAGCTATAATTCTCTTAATAGTCTTATTAATAAATATATAGATACTTATAAATAGATTATATAGATAATTATATTAGTATATCTTTTATATATATTAAATATATTTTAGCTATACTAATATTTTTTTCTATACTATATTTAAAGACTACTTCTACTATAATCTAGTAAGTATTTATTTAATATATCTTTAATATATATTAACTAGCAGTAGATTATACTTTCTTTATTATCTAGTTATTATAAAAGAAATATTAATATTAGTCTATTTTATATTAGATATATACTAATTTTATAGTACAGTCCTATCTTTTCTAGTACTTTTAAGTTTAAGTCTAAGTTTATTTTTTTAGTTAAGAAGATAGATAAGTAGTTTTATCTAAGTTTTAACTTTAT